CCCCAGTCAGCCGCCACACCTCCGTCCGCATCCTACTCGCCATCGCAGCAGCAAGGCACTTACCACTCCGTCAGATTGACGTGAAGAACGCGTTCCTGTACGCGCTAGTGGACGTTGTGATCTACGTGGAGCTGCCTCACACCTACGGCGAAGGAGACTCGTGCGTATGTCAGTTACGCAAATCACTCTACAGGATCAAGTAGGCCCCGAGACTGTGGCAGCACTACCTGCACAACATCCTGCTTGAAATTGGGTTTAGGCAGATGCCGCACGATCCAGGGATGTACCGCCGCGATTTCCGCGGCGAATACATCCTCCTCACTGTGTACGTCAACGACCTGCTTTACACAGGCTCAAATAACGAGCTTCTCAAGCAGTTCGAGAAGGCCTTGGCGGGGCGCGTCGACATCACGTGCAACTACGAGGTGAAGCAGTTCCTAGGCCTCAACATCTCCTACGCGCCTAAGGTCATTCACCTCTCAGCGGCTAAGTACGCGGAGGAGTTAGGGAAGCGGTTCAACATTTCACCTGCACCTCTCTCAACTCCCTACCGAACCCCCGGACCGAACCACAAACCCGACAACAAAGCCCTATCCCTTGCTGGGATTCAGACTTACCAGCAGCAGTTGGGATGCCTCCTCTTCGCCTCCGTCACCTGCAGGCCAGACCTCTCGTACATCGCAAGTCAGCTTGCGCAGTAATCACGCAAACCAACGGCTGAAAATCTCCTGGACCTGCAGCGCGCTCTTCAATTCCTCGTTTCAACGCCCAAGATTGGGCTGTGCTACTCAACTGCATCAACCTCATCCTTCAATCTCGTCGGCTACATAGACGCCGATCACGCAGCAGATCCCGATAATCGACGGTCTAGGACTGGGTTCTTGTTCCGACTCGAGCCTATGGGACCAATCTCCTGGAACTCGCAGAAGCAGGAGCTGGTTGCCCTGTCATCAGCCGAAGCGGAATTCATCGCAGCAACCGCAGTAGTTCGCGAAGGCCTCTACCTGCGGGATCTCCTGCAAGAGATGAAAATCCCAGCTTCGCCCACATTTCGCCTTCATTGCGACAACCAGAGCGCGATTCGCATCGCGAACAAGCCTGGTTTCGTCAACCGCACCAAGCACATCGCGCTGCGGTACTTCTTCGTGAAGGACGAGGTGGACAAAGGCAAGGTCAACTTGACCTACTGCTTGACCGGCGACATGGCAGCAGACTTCCTTACGAAGCGATTGCCACGGCAGCAGTATCAGCACTGCTCCGAACTCAGTGGCGTGGTCAAGCAGGTCAAGTCGAGCTACGGCCAGGAGTGAAGGGGGGTGTTACAAATAGTAATATTTGATATTACTGAGCACTCCTCACCGCAGCAAAAGGAACACGCAATATCGGGAATGAACGCGAAGCGTCAGGCGGTTGAAATTGAATCGAAGAGTCGGACGGTTGCAGCACATCTGGACCGTCGGGAGCAGACGACATCAGGTAGCTGCAGGCAGGATGGTTTTGGCGGGAGCAGTTACGAAACTGTACGTGCCGTACGGTTGGGATGTATTTGAATAAGGGAATGTGCCCCTTAGAGTACATGGCTAGCTAGGTCGTTTCGTCTTCCCTGTACTCATATTTATATTCCCTGTATGTGCATGTCTTAATTATCTCAAGCATTTTACATTCACTTTGCTATTGAGGTCAAGGGCCCACCATCACTACCTTACTGCATGCGAACCTTCCTGAGTAGATCCTGGGCTACGATCAACTTCTGATCGCAGCAATCAGAACGTGCAAAGCAAAAGGTACCGTATTCCTAGCTATACATTTACGACTTAAAAACAAATATGAAACCCTGGCTACAGTTGTGGGCCGTTTTTACATTGACATACCCGGTAGTAGCCTGTCATGTGCCTTGCATGAAGTTTGTGAAAAGTACAGTGGATGCTGCTACTCGGTGTTTCGACAACTCGACCTCGAATCAGAAAAGAGGTTCACTACTTTACCCCTTTAGACCGCTCTTGCATCAGATCTTCCCTAACAAGATCTCTGCCTGAAAGGTCCTCTTTTCATGACCGTTTGTTGCTCGAGTCATTCCGTCATCCGCACCGCACCATTACCACAGGGGCTTCCGCGCCTGAGGATTGTCTCAGATTTTCCTGCCTTTACATTCGACGGAATCATTGCAGCCTCGTGTCTGACACGTCACTCACGCGCACATGGACGAGGAGCAAGGCCAGCTCTCCGTCTTCCTAGCCTTTCGCGAGAAATGCGACGCGCTGGAAGCCGCGATTCGAGCTTTAAGTTCCAGAGATTCCGGTTTCGTTGCCGAATTTGCACAGTCGGAGATAAACGGCGGGGAAAGGAGACAACAGGTGGACGATGCAGGAAGCAATCAACGGTCTGGATTGAATGCGGATCAAGCGGCGGTGGAAGCGCTGCGCGCGGTGGAAGACCTAGTAGCGCATTTCGCGCCGTCGGTCCCGCGGCGTGACGTGGAGCAGATGACGTCGCGCGTGGCCGCGCTTCGCGCCAACCTGGAAACTGCCCGATCCGCCTCGAAACCCAAAAAACGATTCGCCTTCTCCTCAAGAGGGCAAAAGAAACCTTCTTCAGAAAATAAAGACGCCTCGTCCTCTGAGAAATCTCTCGAGCAACCGACGCAGTCGCTGCATCCAGTGGGTAGTTGCCAGGCGGAGCAGGAGGGCGACATGAGGAGAACGGGAATAATGGCCTCCGATGTTGACCCAACAGGGGCACCAGGAGGAGCCGTATCGGGAGCAGCAGCGTCAGGAGAAGCGGCGGCGGCAGCAGGAGCACCCGCAGCAGGAGGAGAATCCGGAGCAGCAGCGCTGGGAGCAGCAGGAGGAGAATCCGGAGCAGCAGCGCTGGGAGCAGCAGGAGAAGTTGGAGCAGCCAAAACAGCAGGAGCGTCCGGCGAGGCTCCACCTTCCATCCCCCCAATCAGCTCCGCGCACCCGTCCCTCTCCATCTCCCACCGCTCCCACGAGCACATTCAGATCTCGCCAGAGCAGCACAGACGCGGCGAGCTCACGCTGCAGCACCTCTCCCACTGCCACGTATCCGTACGAGGCATCCTCTCCGCCGTCTTCCTCCGCCACGTGCGCGACTGCCACGTGATCCTCTGCCCAGTGTCAGGAGCCTGCCACGTGGAGGACGCGTCAGGCAGCACTGTAGCCGTCGCGAGTCATCAACTGAGGATACACCAGACAGAGCGCGCCGATTTCTATGTCCGCACGCGCAGTAGGCCGCTTATAGAGCACTCTAAGGGTGTCAGATTCGCGCCTTATAGTAGGGAGTATGACGGGTTGGAGGCGGATTTTAAGGATGCTGACCTGGCGGTGGATGGTGGGCTGTGGGCCCACGTGGACGATTTCGGTTGGCTGCGTGCGGTGTCGTCGCCGAATTGGTCGGTTATTCCTGAGGAAGAGAGAAAGAGTTGACAGAGGCCTGAAGCTTTACAGGTGCAGGGGGGGAATGCAGATACGTGTTTTGAGGCGCCCCAATGGTTGGCTGTTTCTGAGGAAGAGAGGAAGAGTTGACAGAGGCGTGAAGCTGTACAGTTGCAGGGGGGGTTCGCATTGCAGATACGTCTTTTGAGGCACCTCAAAGGTTGGCTATTCCCGAGGAGGAGAGGAAGAGCTTGGCAGAGGCGTGAAGCTTTGCAGACTCATGGGTGTTTGCAGACATGGTGAGGCTTCAGAGGTGCATGGAGGTTTGCAAAGGTGGAAAAGCTCACACATGGACAAGCATTTACCGAGGCATGGGTTTCACAGAGAATGGGGTCTTGCGGACTTGTGAAGGCCAGTGCTGAAGGTCAGGCAAAGTTGGAGAGCTGTGTTGGTGGTGGGAGGGCGGAAGGAAAGACGAGGTGGTGTGTGTAGTGCAGACTACAGCAGATGTCATTTCCGTCCCCGCAATTTTTGTTGAGATGGCATGTGCTAAGGTTGATACTGCTGCAGAAATTTGGTTGAAATACTGCTGCATAATATTTATTGCCTCAAACACAACCTACACACAGATGTAAAAAACACAACAAACACACAACATTTATTACCATGCTTTCTTAGGACGTGTGAGATTTTAGATGGAGTTCGTAATCAGGGTCGAACTTTTGGTGGTTACCCTTTTCGCCAATGTTCGCTAACCGCCTCGCCGAAGTCGAAACAAATTCCCCGTTTGGGAAGTGCGAACCCTCATTTGTGAACTTGATACAGAAAAATTCGTGAACTTGCACAAACACAAAGATCCAAACGTGTGTGGTGTCAGGCACGTACGAGGTTTCAGCGAACCTCGCGACTCATTCGTGCACCAATGAGATCACAACCACGACACAGCGAATTGCTGAACTCGCTATGGCCACCACGTGGCACAATTCGTGCCACGATGGCTAGTCGTGCGCCGATATTTGTATCGTGCACAACTGCCACAGATGTGAAGTTGAGCTGGAGGTCTAGGGCTCACTTTTTTTAGCAGCGCTCCGGTGACGTGTCGCGCTGTGGTGTGCTTGAAACCGGGTAACCTACAGTCTCCAATTGCGGCTCGGTTCCCCCTCTGTAAATTCGAACTTGCAAATTCGCACCTTGGTGTGTGATTGTGAGTATACAAGAATGCTCACACGCGGTTCGAACCTTGCCACATCTCAAAATCGATTCAAGTTCAGGTTATAAAACCCTGCTAAAATCGAGTAAAAAACGTGAACTTTCATAAACCCCTGTTTCACACACGTCCTTATCCTTCAAATTCCAATCTTTCCATGGTCATTACTCTCTCCCTCCACCTGTGCTCCATCCATCCTCCTCTTCTCCAGGAGAGCTTTCCTCAACTCAAACCCCAGATTCTGGGCCAGAGGTAATTTTCAATCCGACTCAAAAGTCACTATGCTTCATCGTTTCTCTCTCCCTCCACCTCTGCTCCATCCATCTCTTTCGTTTCCAGGAGAACTTTCCGCAGCTGAAAGCCCAGAGCCAGTGCCAGAGGCATTATGTGTTCACATTCCATTACTTTGCCTCATCCTTACCCTCTCTCTCCACTTCTGCTCCATTTATCTTCCTCGTCTCCAAGAGAGCCTTCCTGAGCTGCAAGCCCAGAGCCAGGGCAAGAGGTGGAGGGACAGCATTGCCGATCTGGCGATGCTTGGCCTGAATGTTGCCAGCAAAGCGGTACCAGTCGGGAAAGCCCTGAGAGATTTGTGGCACATTGGGAACACAAAGAAAGGGAAAGTGCTTGGCCCGGATGTTGCCAGCGAAGCGGTACCAGTCGGGGAGACCCTGAAAGATTAACACAGGAAGGAGGAGTGGGGCGAACATGGTCCGACTATCTTGTGGAGCCTGGCGTGAATGATGCTTGCAAAGCGGTGCCACGGTCACATTCAGGCAACACGGTTCTACCAGTTAAGGGAAGCCCACCAAGGCGTTGTGAGCGCAAGGTAAACGGGATTGGGGGGGAGGGTAATTGTGAGAACATGGGGTAGAAGCAGGAATAAGGCAATCAAAGCAAGAAAGAGCTGACTGGTGAAAAGGAAAGTCTTCACCCTATGAAGAAAGAACTCTCCACCAACCGGAGTGAAAGCACATGCCCACTTTCCCCATGGGCTGGGGGTCCATCACAGACGTGGGAAACTTGCCCGCCCAATCACCCCTTGATTCATCAGGCTCTCACCCACGCCAATCCCCCACTATGATCTTGAAGATTGGGACATCCCAGAGCTTTTATGTGAAATCTCAAAAAATCCCACACCAACACCAATCCCACACTACAATCTTGAAGTTCGGGACATCCCAGAACACCAGAACCCTTGTCACACGTCCCCTCCCTTACCTGCGATCGCGCACACTCGCGCACGCTGACAATGCGGTCCTGCTCGGGGTGAAAGCACATGCCCACTTTCCCCATTGGCTGGGGGTCCGTCACAGACGTGGGGAAGTTGCCCGCCCAGTCCAGCCGCCCAAACAACCCCTTCCAGTTATTGTGCCGCTCCATGGTGTTGGGTAGGCACCAGGGGACCAAATCTGCCTCACGGCCGTCCGACAGCCGCACCTGTGGATGAAAATGAGGGAAAGGAAGGGATACCAAGGAGAGGTCAGGTTACGGGTGTGAAAGTATGCTGCCCAAACAGCCCCTTCCAGTTGTTGTGGCGCTCCATGGTGTTGGGTAGGCACCAGGGGACCAAATCTGTCTCACGCCCATCGGACAGGCGCACCTGGTGAGGAACAGGGGGTTTGGGGTATACAAGAAAGTGTTTTGGAACTGTAAAGCTGGCCAAACAGCCCCTTCCAGTTGTTGTGGTGCTGCATGGAGTTGGGCAGGCGCCAAGAGACCAGGTCTGCTTCGCACCCATTGAATAAGCGGACCTGTGGTTCAACGGAACGGGATGTTGCTGTTGATACGTGATAAAAGTGATGCTTCGAGACGTCTCAAAATAGCCAAGAGACCAGGTCTGCTTCGCACCCATTGAATAAGCGGAGCTGTGGTTCAACGGAACGGGATGTTGCTGTTGATACGTGATAAAAGTGATGCTTCGAGACGTCTCAAAATAGCCAAGAGACCAGGTCTGCTTCGCACCCATTGAATAAGCGGAGCTGTGGTTCAACGGAACGGGATGTTGCTGTTGCTCTCGAGAATTCTCAAAAGAAACATCAGATAAGCGAACGGCTTTCGTGAGGGCTTGTCAACTTCTGAGGCGGGTGACAAACAAATTGCGGGCATAGATACGACTTTTGAGGCACATCAAAAGCCCTAGAGGTATTCCTCCAGTCCTGCTGTACGGGCTCATGACAAGAAGGGTCGATCCAGAAAACAAGAGAGCGAAGAGGGCGAAATGAAAAGGGATGGGCTAAGGAGGGGATCGACCTCAACCAGGTTCGAAGTCCTTCGTGGTTGAGGTTGAGGTTGAGCTGAGCGTGAGTGTGGGTCACGTACACGTGTCAAGAGTGATTCTTTGACACGTCTTAACAATTCACTCTTTACACGATGGGCTAAGGAGGGGGTCGACCCCAACCAGGTTTGTGTAGGTCCTTTGTGGCTGAGGTTGAGCTGAGCCTGAGTGTGGGTCGTACAGTGCGTCATGATCGTACCTTGATATCTGGCAGGTCCCGCCAGTCCGCCCCTGGGCGCCTGGGGATGTGTTGGCAGCGTTTGAGGTTGAGTTCGTTCATGCGCTTGCACGTGTGGTCCAGTAGCCTGGCTTGCTGGGCTCTGATGCTCCTCTGGAACCAGGAGGAGGGCTCCGAAGAATACTGGGAAGAAGGAAGGGAGGGGAGAGGAGGGGAGGGGAGGGGAGGGGAGGGGAGGGGAGGAGAGGGGAGGGGAGGGGGAGGGGAGGGGAGGGGAGGAGAGGGGAGGGGAGGGGAGGGGAGGGGAGGGGGAGGGGAGGAGAGGGGAGGGGAGGGGAGGGGAGGGGAGGGGAGGGGAGGGGAGGGGAGGGGAGGGGAGGGGAGGGGAGGGGAAGAGAGGGGAGGGGAGGGGAGGGGAGGGGAGGGGAAGAGAAAGCGTTAGAAGCGTTTGCGGTTGAGTTGGTTGATGCAGTTGCACGTGTGGTCCAGGAGCCTGGCTTGCTGTGGTCGGATGCACCGTTGGAACCACGAGGAGGGGTTGGAGGAGTACTGTGGAAGTGAATGGGGAAGGGGGAAGGGAGGGAGAGTGTTGGGAAGCGCTTGGGTTTTGAGGCTTCTTGAAACCAGAAACGAGTATGCTAAGGAAGTGGGGGTTAAGGGGGAGGGGAGTACGAGGGGTAAGGAGAATGTGGTGTCAGCCATGAGATTGTGATGTAATCCTATCCTGCATTTTGAGACGTCTCAGAAGCGGGGGGTAAGGGGGGATATGGGGGCGAGGAGAATGTGCTGTCAGGCAGCCATGAGGTTGTGATCCTATGCTGCACATGCAATTCGCGTGTATTGAGTCGTGTTTTGAGTCGACTCAACACAAGGAAGTGGGGGGTAGGGGGGGGGGGGAGGAGGGTGTGCTGTCAGCCATGAGGTTGTGATCCTGCCCATGCAAGTTATCAGGATGGCTTGCGTTGTGAGAGAACTAAGTGTAGTAGCTTAGAGGTTTCTCTAAAACCTACAGACCACCAGCACCCCGCAGCTCACCTCCATCTCCTCCTCCTCCTCTGCCCCATTTTCAATCCGCCCCATTGCATCCTGCATCCCATCCCCTGCCGAATCCCAGGCTCCAGACCGCATTCCGCTCTGCATGTTGCCAGCAGCGCACAACCCCCAACCCGCATTCACCACTCACCACTCCCACCCTGTGACTCACCTCCATCTCCTCCTCTTCTGCCCCGTTCTCAATGCTTGGCAGGTCCCCCATCGCATCCCGCACCGTGATCGACCGCAGCGGTGCCCCCACTGCAGGGCCACGTGGACACGCCTCATTGGCCAGCGAGCTAGCCGTGCTGAAGTGACCAATACTAGCCGCGCCATCAGCAGCACCACTAGCAGCAGAGGCGCCGCCAGCAGCGGAGGTGGTGAGGGGGACGGAGAGCTGGGAGGAGGCAAAGACGTGCAGAGGCTGCGGCCACTCAGGGAGCACGTGGCCCGGTGCTGCAGCCCAGATGAAGGCCCGCGTGCGGGACTGAGATATTCCGAAGTTCCCCGCTTGCAGCACACCGAAGCGGACCTGGAGGGTGAGGAAAGAGGGGAAAAGGGGTTGGGGGAATCTGAAACTCTCAATAACACTCGGGGAGCCGGTGGCAATGCGCTGCTGCCCAGATGAAGGCTCTCGTGCGCGACTGAAACATGCCGAAGTTGCCCGCTTGTAAGACACTGAAGCGGACCTGGAGGGGGTGGGGGGAAGGGGAGAAGGAGCAGGAACGGAGAGGCGGTGAAAAGCTGCCCGATTGAAGGATGCAGACGGACATGGTAGGGCGAGAGGGAGGTGTGATGGTTTGATGGTGTGATGGTGTGACGGCTGATAGTTGATGGTGTGGTCTGGTGTTCAATTAGACAATGGCGACCCATGTGTATGCTTTTGACATTTCCCATTAGTGACTCAGTTTGTGAATTTTCAATAGTGGGTGATGGTTGATGGTGTGGTTCTGGTGTTCGATTAGCCTATGGCGACACAAGTATGATGCCTGCCTACCTGGTAGCCCATAGCACGGAGAGTCCTCAGAGCGAGGCGGAAAGAACGCGCCCCGGTCAAGGACACAAAGTTGCGCACGTTCTCAAGGAGGAAGTAGTTGGGGCGGAGGAAATCCGCAAAGGGAAGGCAGTGTGTGCGGATGAGTAGGGAACATTAGTAGTGCTTGCGCCTACCTGGTAGCCCATGGCGAGCAGCGTCCGAAGGGCCAGGCGGAAGGTGCGGGCGCCATTGAAGGAGACAAAGTTGCGCACGTTCTCGAGGAGGAAGTAGTTGGGGCGGAGGAAATCGGCGAAGGAGAGGAAGGCGAGAATCATCTCGCACTGCACCTTGCTCCATGGGTTCTGGTTGAAGCGGTTCATTCCGGAGAAACCCTGAGAGGGGAGTTATAGAGGGGAAGAGAAGGAAGAGAGAAGGCAATGAGGGGAAATGGGATCATCTCGCACTGCACCTTGCTCCTCCATGGGTTCATGTGTAGTAAGTCGATTTTTGAGTTGACTAAAAAACTGCACTGCACCTTGCTCCATGGGTTCTTTCCGGAGGATCCCTGCGTGGGACAGGCAGAAAGGGTAGAGGGGATCAAATAAGGCAAAGGGTATAGCAGGAGAGCAGAAGGGGTGAGAAGTGATGAAAGGCGAGGGTCATCGATCACTACACGTGCAACCAATGTACTTGGCAGGGATGGAGACGAGTCCGATCCTAAGTCGACTCTAAAAATGAACCCCGTACTTGGTGGTAGGGGGGTCACCCACCCCACTCACCAAGTTCACCACTCAGCCGGGAAGCCAGGTACAAGTGTGTACCTGGCAGGGCGGCAGCTGCCCACCTCCATTCACTGGGCGGCAGCTGCCCACCTCCATTCACGAATACCACTTAACCAGGAAGCGGCCGCTTCCCCCTTTCGTCCTCGGCCATCCTCGTGCCACTCACACAGCACCTGAACAAGAGCTGCGACCCCCCTGCAACCTGGCAGGGTGCTTTCCTGGATAAGTGTGTACCTGGCAGGGCGCCCCCCCATTCACAAACTCCACTTGGCCCGGCAGCAGCAGCTCGCCGCTCTCTGCCTCGGCCGTCTGTCCCACTCTCACCACTAGTGCAGGTGGGGTAGGCGCCACCTGGAACCTGCGTACCTGGCAGGGCGGGCCCCCATTGACGAAGTCCACTTGGCCGGGCAGGGGCAGCTTGCCCCTCTCTGCCTAGACAATCTTCCCTGCTACCGCTCACCGCACAGTCCGCACCTGAAAAAGTGCCTCTGCGAGCCCCACTCACCTGGCAGGGCGGGCCCCCATTGACGAAGTCCACTTGGCCAGGCAGAGGCAGCTTGCCCTTTTCCCCCTCGGCCATCTTTGCTGCTGCTTCATCCGCCTCTGGCGTTGACACACAGTCGCCCAGCTGCCCTGCTTGCTCCATCATAGACCTGGGGAGGCGAGGTCATGGGAGAGGGGGAAAAGGGGGATATATATATATACACATACATATATACATATATGTACATATATATTAGGGGGAAATCCCGGAAGGGGTTAATGGGAGCGAGGGATTGCCTCTGTCTGGGACAAAGGAAGTAGGCGAGACAAATAACGAGCAAGATAGGGGAAATGGTAAGGAGGGGAACGAGAAAGGAGTGGAAACGGGGGCAAGGTGTTGCTGCTACTGTCCCCCTATGGCATCTCCGTATCCTCCTTCACTAAGACATCATCATGTAACCCTGCTCGCTTACCTAAGCACCGCACCACATAACATCTTACCACCATTAACTACCTCATAACCCCACCTGCTTACCTAAGCACCACACCACAGAACATCTTACCACCACAAACTACCACACAACCCCACCCACTTACTCAAGCACCGCTCACCTGAGCACGACGTTGCAGTTGGCGCAGATGACAGCAGCCTCGGGGTGGTTCTTCTGAAACGCTTCAGCAGCCCACCCGTCCACCATCAGCACTGAACCGGCCAAGTGACACTACACTCACTCACCTGAGCAACACATTGCAGTTGGCACAGATGACAGCAGCCTCGGGGTGGGTCTTCTGTTCCCCATGCTCACCTAACTTACAAAAGCACCGCTCACGCTCACCTCAGCACCACGTTGCAGTTGGCGCAGATGACAGCGGCGTCGGGGTGGTTCTTCTGAAACGCCTCAGCCGCTGGGTGCTCATACTCGATGGCCCACCGCGTCTCACACGCCCTCGACCGCTGCAGCCCCTCTGACAGCCCGCCACACCCCGCAAATATATCCAACGTCCGCAGCACACCAGTGCCGCCCTTGCTGCTGTTTCCCACCCCTTGCTGCCCCTCCTCCTGCTTCCCCTTATTCTCCTTCTCCTCCTGCTTCTCCTGCTTTTTCTCCTGTTTATTCGCCCCAGCTGCAGCCTTGCTGGTGGGTTCGTCTGGCTCCTCTGCAGCTGCTTTCCCCTTGCCCTTCGCCCGGGCTCTAGCCACTGCTGCTGCCTCTATTGCTGCAGCTTCCGCGTCGGCGTCGTCATCGGCAGCAACGCTCTTGCCCTTGCCCTTGCCCTTGTCCTTGATTGGTGACGCTGCTGCTGCTGCTGAAGAAGGGCCGAAGCGAATCCCAGGGGGCAACTGCAGGATAAAAACGGAAGTGGGAAAGGAAGCAAGGGAGGCAGAAGAGTCAGGCAGAGAGAGACATGCCCACCAAGTACATGCAGAAAGAGATGATCTTATACTTCTGATGGCACGTGTTACCTTCTAGATATGTGTATTTTACTTTTGAGAATTCTCAAAAGTAAATTTAGTATAGGCAGAAAGAGACGATCTCATACTTCTGATGGCACGTGTTGCCTTCCAGAACAGGCAGAGACAAAGCTATAGGGGCACATTTAGACGGAAGAACAATGCTATAGCAGAGGACAGAGGGCTTTCAGTTTTTGGGGATCCGTAAAATTAGCTGATAGCAGGGGAGGAAGCACATCTATACATAAACCTGTTTATTCGTGCGAATGATAGAACTCCAGGTGATAACAGAGAAGGAGCACTGCTGGCTTGTGAAATGAGAGCATTATTCAAGTTTAACCGAGAACAGAGCCGAGGGAGCGCTATACCATTCGGACGGAGCCATCTTTGAGAAGGCGGTCGCAGAAGAAGACAAAGTCGCCGCCCATCAGCTCCTCCTCCAGGCACCCCCCGATGTTAAAGCCCGAGTGATCCGCCTCTGTCCCTGTTGCAGCAGTTGCTGCGGTGGGCTTGCCCCGCTGCACGCGGCACTTGCCGATCACGTCTGTCACGTCTACAGTGATTAGGGTTTCACTGTAGTACACCTGTTGTGGGGCGAAGTGGTACAAGTACATAGATTCTTGTACATGGCGTGTGAACTAGGGCGTTCATCATAAGCAAAGAAAGAAATAAAGAAAGGAAGAAGAAAAAAAAAGAGAAAAAGAATGGAAGTGGAAAACACCTTCATGCCCGACACACCATCTTGTCACTCTCACCTCTCCAATATGTGCCCTTTACACCATCTCCTCACCCGCATTAGAAATATTTTACTTCTAAGGAGTCTCAGAAGTGGACAAAAGTCAGAAGCACTGGCATCTCACCACCCGTCTGTAAATAGAAAGATGAGTAGCTCTCTCACCTCTCGTATATGTGCTGTGCACCTCAAGCACCCTCATTTGACATGCAGGCACCTCAACACAAGTCAAGATCACCGACCCTTAGCTTCTCCGGATGTAAAATATTTAAAATGGGAAAAAGCGCTCACCTCTCGGATGTGTGCCGTATATGCGATCTCATCACCCTCATTCGGCACATCTTCAGGGCGGAAGAACCTCCTCACCACCATCTTTTCAGGCACCTCCTTTGCCCCACCGGTCGGAGCTACAAACTTTTCAATCTGCCCGATAGGCCACGCCCGCAGCCCAATGTTCCGCCCTCCTTTCGCTATCTTGAACTTCTTCCCCTCGCTCTCCTCCCCCACTGCTGCTGGATGCAAGAACACGAAGTCCTGAACCCGAAACTCCTTCCCTAAGTAAGCAAATCCCTCCTCCCCATCCCCCAGCCTCCGCACTTCCATCATCCTATCCCTCTCTGTGTCCTCGTCACACGAGCAACACCTGCCCGTTCCGCTGCCCAGGCTCTTGGGCAGGTCGAAAAAGCCGCCACGGGAGGGGTTGTAGAGGAGACGGTAGAAGAAGGAGCGCTGCCCTGTCTCCTTGAAAATTTTCTCCATTCGCTCCCTCTCCCTCTCATGCTCCTCCATGTTCCTCAGCCTGTGCTCCACGCCCCATGGCTGCTTGCGATGCGTCACTGGCGCTAGCTCACTGGGAAAGTAACAGAATTGCACAGAAAGAGCGTGTAAATGGGTCAGGTTTTGAGTTGAGTCGAAATTCACTTCTGACTTTGAGGGAGTGAAGAACAACACACAGATACCTCAACTTCATGGCGCCTCAAGGTTTACAGGATGGCATTGAGGGGGAAGTCAACGCAGTGCTCCGAAACAAATAGCTCCCACCTATCCGCCGCATTCTATACTTGATGCTCACTCAATACCTGCAGCTTACCGCATCTGCTGGCAGCTTACCGCATCTGTTGGCAGCTTACCGCATCTGCTGGCAGCTTACCACATCTGCTGGCAGCTTAACGAATGGCAGTGAGGTGGAAGTCAACGCAGTGCTCCGACACAAACAGCTCCCACTCGTCCACCACCTTTGATACTCGATACTCAATACCTGCAGCTTATCGCATTTGCTCGCAACTTGACCCACTTCTAGGCAACTTACCGGATGGCAGTGAGGGGGAAGTCAACGCAGTGCTCCGACACGAACAGCTCCCACTCGTCCGCCGCATTCCCCAGCACCGTCTCACTCCCCCTCATCATCACCCGCCCATGCGCCTTCATCCCCTCGCCCCTCCTCCTCCTGCCCGCGCCACCCCCCACACCCCCCTCATCCCACATATACTCCACCAACACTAGCCTCTCCTCCTCCTCTCTCCACCGCCCCTCGTCCCCGTCATCCTCGCCCTCTGCCACAGCAGCAAGCACCACAATCCCTGCCTTGACTTCTAACCCCCACACTGAGGCTGCCGCGTAGGCAGGATGGTCTTCCTCAGTGCGGCCTGTGCTTGCACCCATCCATGTCACGCCCTGAGTGGAGTCCTTTACTGCTCTCGCCTTGCACCCACCAGCAACAGCTTCCTTCCCCTTCTTAGCCTCACCACCAGCAACAGCTGCTTTTCCCTTATCGGTCACACCAGCCTCCTTATCTAGTTCTGCGCTCTTCGCTATAATCCCCTTCGTTTTACTCCCCTTGGTTTGCCTTGCACCCGCTACCTCCTCAACCTCCTCCTCCTCATCCTCACTATCCCCATCTTTCAACTCCCCTCCTTCCTCTTCGTCCTCCACCTCCTCACCCTCCACCTTCCCATTCTCCTCTCCCTCACCCCCCCCTTTACCCGCCCCCACCTCATCCCGCTTCAATCCGAACCGTTCATAATACTCCTTCCAGATCCTGTGGACCAGCTGAGTCGTGGTAGCACGCATAGGCTTCCTCTTACTAGCATCAGGCCTTAAAGCCGCAGCAGGATTCGCATTCCTCGCACTCCCACCGTCACCCCCACCACGTCCATTGCTACCTCTGCTTGCGACAATCATCGCTGCCTTTTTCATACTAACTTTTAGCTCGGTATGCGATCGCATCTCCATCTTTTCTCGCAGCGTGCTTATAAAGGGGCTCCGGCGGATTGTCTCCACTGGGTACTCTCTAAACTGCTGCAGGATGATGTTCCCATGCACCACTAAAAACCGCTCCAATTCAGCAAAACACTTAGCTAAGTCCCCACGTGCCGGCACCTTGCCGCTCTTCTGCTGCTTCTCCGCCATCCGCTCCTGCGCCAGCTTCGTCACCACGTCCAGAAAAGACAAGCGCGCTGCCCGGGACTCGCCACTCAGCATCTCGATGACTCGGATTGCCAGCCGGGCTGTGCGCAGAACCGGGCGGTACCAGGGGACATAGGCGGAACAAGGGCGGCCGAGCCTGTACCATGCCCCATCGGTTCGAATGGTCACAAAAAGCATGCCGGCCCCAAATTCGATCATCCACTCCTTGATCGCGCTCAGATACACCCGGATACCACCGGCGCCACCATCACCACCATCCGCTGCTGCGGGATCAGATCCTGACCCGGAACCACTCCCTGAAGCACCTGAAGAACCACCTGAAGTGCCACCTGAAGAACCACCAGCACCGTCACCCCGGGTAGTGCCAGCGGATTCAACAGTGGGATCGTCGAGGCTGAAGCCGCTCCCATCGTCCTCCATCATAACACCCGAGCCGAACACGAGGGAGTCCGCGGCTACCCCCGGCAGCATGGGCAGCAGCTCAAGAGGCACGAAGCGCAGCTGGTCGTCGTAGAGCGCCCAGTCGTCCAGGCGGCGCCGCGGCAGGTCGTCGGGGTAGAGCGGAGCGGTGGCGTCGTCGAACAGGAGGAACTCGTCCGTTTCCTCGTCCACGCTCTGGAAAAGCAGTTGCCATGAGGGCAGCGGAGATGGGGAAGGGCGGGAGTGGGGGAAGGGGGATGGGGCGGGAGAAGAGGAGGGCACAGCGGTGAGGAGTGGGTCGTCGAACAGGAACTCGTCTGTTTCCTCGTCCACGCTCTGTGGGTGGGTGGGTGGGTGGGGTGAAAGAACCAGGAGGGAAAAGGGGCAAGGGAGGGAGTGGATGGGGGAAGAAGGGGAAGAGAGAGACCCAGGGGTCTAGCAGTGGGATGGATGGGCAAAACACGGTCCAGCATGGGCAGCAGCTCGAGCGGCACGGAGCACAGCTGATCGTCATGCAGCGCCTGGTTGTCTGGGCGGCGAGGCAGGTCGTTCTTTCTCGTTGATTTGCAAGTGCCTCTCCAGACTCCAGCCTGCAGTCAATCCCATTTCCTTGTCTTTGCTCCTTCGTCCTTATGTCTTGTCCTCCAGCCTACCTTGTAGTATCTCGGGGGCGGGTAGTCATCAGCCAGCTCTTTCTCATTGATCTTCAAATACCTCTCCTGCCTGCCACCGCCCCCAGCCCCCTTCCTCCGTCCACCTCCCCTCTTCGCCTCTGCTTCCTTCTCCTCCTCTTCGGCCACCAGCCTAGCCAACTCCTCGTCATCAATTCCCACGCTTGCTCCCTCGCCGGCCCTGCTGCTGCTGCCGCTGCCGCCAGCGGTGTCTCTTATAACGAGGGCTCCGTTTGTAGCAGCTGGATTCTTGCCCGTGTGTTCCTTGGCGCTGGCTTGCCTGGCTTCCACAATGCTCCGGACAGCTGCGTGCTTGGCTCCCTCCTCTTTCAGAGACCTTTAGGGGGATCGGAGAAGGGGAGGAAATGGGAGACAAGAAGGCGAGGGGAAGAAGATGAGCTACCTGCCTGCCCCTATGCTCCGGACAGCTGCTTGTTTGACTTTCTCTTCCTTCAGAGACCTTTTCGAGGTCATGGAAGGCAAAGTGGGAATAGAAGATTCAGGGAAAGCTGTGAGCTGCCTTGCTGCCACTATGCTCCGGAGGGCTGCCTGTCTCACTCCCTTCTATTTCAGCTCACACAACTTCTGCGCCACAAGCGCATGGGCCTCCACCAACTGCTGCCTTAATTTGACCCAATGAATCAAATCAACAAGTGAAGCGACTCACAGTTGCACACAGAGACACCCAGGGACAAACGCACTCGAGTGCAGGCAGCGATCAGAACAGCTGGCCGTCCCCATCCGCATCCTCGTCCAGACCGCACAGCTGCTGGGAAGTCAATTGAGCATTTTACCACAGGAAGTGGCACACAAACGCTCGATCACTCACGCACACACAGACTCACTCGAGCGCAAGCAGCCCTGAGAAGAGCTAGTCGTCTTCATCCGCGTCTTCGTCCAGCCCGCACAGCTGCTGCACCACAAACGCGTGCAACGCCCACCAGTTGCTGCCCACTAAGTTGACCCAGCAAATCAACGTCCCCACATGCAGACACATGCAGGGCACACAAACTCACTCTAGCGCAGGCAGCCCGGAGAACAGCCGGTCGTCCTCATCCGCGTCCTCGTCCAGCCCGCACAGCTGCTGCGCCACACACGCATGCACCTCCAGTAGCTGTCTTGTCTTGACCCGCCCAAAATCAAGTAACAACCTCATGAAGCGGGGCACACACGCAGGCAGACGGACTCACTCTAGCGCAGGCAGCCCTGAGAAGAGCTGGTCGTCTTCATCCGCGTCCTCGTCCAGTCCGCATAGCTGCTGCGCCACAAACGCATGTGCAGCCACCAGGTCGTCCCTGCACGGCCGCCCCAGCGCCCTCGACACGCGCGCCACCACCTCTGGGAGGGAAATGGTAGGGTCGCCCCCGTCCGGCTTGGAAAGGGCTCTGAAAACCTCCACGCACAGATTGGCCTTGTCCTGTTTGGAAGGGGGAGGGAAACGGGAATGGGGAGGAACGGGGTAAGAGCTTGAAGCACGCGCCACCACCTTTGGCAGGGAGAGGGTGGGCTCGCCCCCGCCCAGCTTGGAAAGGCCCTGAATACCTCCAGGCACAGAATGGCCTTGTCGTGTTCAGAGAAGAGGGGCGGGGAAGGTGAAAGGAACGAGGAACGTCCAGGAATGGGAGGAGCGTCTGAAGTAGAGGAACGTGTGAGCGTCTCCTGGATCGTGAAGAAATAACATGTTTTGAGAAGTTTTTTACGGCGTCTCTAAGCTGGCCCCCACACCACACTCACGTTCCCCATCCACGCACAATACCTGGAGCTCAGTGAAGCGTTTACCTGAAGCGGGGTTAATTCTTTCTTCTGCTTGACGACTTTTGAGGCGCCTCAAAAGTCGCACAGTATCTGGAGCTGAGTGAAGCGTTTACCTGAAGCGGGGTGAAGTCTTTCTTCTGCTTGGCGGCGGGGCGGCAGCAGACGTACGTGGCAGCGTCCGTGGTGATCATGATGCGCGCTGCTGTGTTCGTCTTCTCGTAACCGTCGATGTACCACCCGTCGATGGGCCCGAACGCCTCGCACCTGTAACCCTGGTTACCGAGTAACAGAGCACGGGGCAACGAACAGCAACACCAGGTCAACATGTGTCTCAAACGCGACACTTGAAGGTACAGAGCAGGGTGGCTTACACTTATCTTCATCTATATGGCACAGAGTGAGGGCCACGGGGAGAAAACAAAAACAAAAGGTACGCCGCAAGACTGACCACCTCGACAGCGCAGGGTGCGGGCGCTCATGTTCCCTCGATACGGCGCAGGGCGGCGGACGCTCGCCTCACCTCCATATGGCGCAGCGCGGCGGTCTCGGGAAGAATGACGGCTGTCACAAAGAGTCCTTCCCCACGCGCCGCCAGAGCGTCGAAGCTGTCGAGCGGCATGAGCGCGCCGTCCGCGTCGTGAAACACGAAGTCCAGCAGCTGCCGCACCGGCGCCTTCTTCTCCGCCGCCGCCGCCGCGGCTGCTGGATCCGACGGGTGCGTGAGCACGATTGCAGCTTCCTCTGCACAGATCGGATGGAGGGCAGAGGCAGTTCGCGGAAGGAGGGAGGATAGAGTGGTGATACAAGTGATGACTTAATAAGCTAATATGAGAGGAAATGCGGGAGTCAGAGCCTGCAACGCGTACGTCTGTTGATCAGCGAAGTCTACGTCGCACTTGAATTCACGAGCAGAGCCTGCATCGCACCTGAGTCGGCGAGCGGAGCCTGCTTCACTTGGATCATGTCGTCGTCGATCGCTGGAGCCTTGCCGCGCTTCCTCGCCTTCCCAGGCGCCTTCTTCGCTTCTTTTTCCGCTCCCTTGAGCTGACCTGAAGCCCTTCCGTTCGCCCCCTTCTCTTCCTTGGGCTGACGTGGAGGCTTTCCCTTCCCCCCTTTCTCTGCCTTGGGCTGACGTGGAGCCTCCACACGACTGACGCTGCGGCCGTTGTTCACCTTGGCGCGCTTTGTCCCTGTTTTCTCTTCCACCGCGGTGGACTCCTTCGAACGTTTTCCCCCGCCCTTTTCTCCTACAACGCCGTTTTCCGTTACGTTTTTCACGACGCCGTTTTCCTCGACCGCGGTGCTCTCTTTTGAGCGTTTGCCGCCACCCTTTTCTCCCACCACAACATTTTCCTTCGCGCGTTTCACGGCGCCCTTCTCTTCGACGGCATCATCCTCAGCCTTGGCGCGCCTGCTGCCGCGGCCCTTCGGTTCAGTCACAATCTCTTCCTTCACATTCTTGCTTTCTCCCTTCGATTTAGTCACACTGCATCGATTCATCGCCTTTCCCTGTCGCGTCCGAGTTCCGTTCGTTCCAGTTACTTGGCGACCATTCGTCGCCTTCGACTGCTTGCCCTTCACTTTGGTCACAACTTCCTCGACTTCTATCACCTCCTCCACGTCCATTGCTCCACTTCTCCTTCCACCGCCAAACAACGGACGTGCGCGTAATCACGCAGCGATAAGATCGGCAATGGTAGATCAGCAAGCTAAGCAATTGTGAACGAGGGACAAGAGAAGGCAGCAATATGGTATGGCTCAGTTGTTGGAAATGCTTGCAGAGACTCCTCTCCTTCCACGAATTGCAAGTTTCGGAATGGCGGGAGAAAGAAAATGAGGGAACAATCGAGGAGAAGCAGCCTTGGTTTGGTATATGGTGGTTCATTAGCTCCATCCGTTGGATCACTGACCCTTCCATGTCCGCCGTCAGATTAGCTAGCCTTGAAAACTTGGAACCTGGGCTGGGGATGAGGGAGGTTTGGGCTCGTCAGGCTGACGCTTCCGTGTCACCAATCAGAAGCAAACATCGGAATCGTGGGATGGCTGGGCCTTCCTAACACGGAATCGTGTTCAAATTTCAAATTTATGAAAAGACGAGTGGACACTTCAGCGAATTGTTAGTTAGTTCTGCGTAACATTTTGCCGGATAATGATGATAATGTGAGATATGAGCAATAGCAGAGACAGCAAGTTGTCCAATTTAGTCACAAGAATTTGGCTGGTCATGCTTATCCATGCGAATCAGCAGGCTTGAATAGCTTTGTAACCACAGTAAGAAGTTGAGCCTCGTCGATGGGGTTTGAGAGCATTCCGTCCATACCTGCCTCTTTCCACCTGCAGACATTCATGCGCATGCACATAAAATGATTAAAAAAAAAAAAAATTTGCAGAATGCCACGTGCTCGTTACTCCAAAAAAAAGTCCTCCACGTCCCCAAAAAAACTTTTCCTTGCCCCGGTTCAACCCCGTTCATCACTCCCTCCCTCTCCCTCTCCCTCTCCCCCTCCCCCTCCCCCTCCCCCTCCCCCTCCCCCTCCCCCTCCCCCTCCCCCTCCCCCTCCCCCTCCCCCTCCCCCTCCCCCTCCCCCTCCCCCTCCCCCTCCCCCTCCCCCTCCCCCTCCCCCTCCCCCTCCCCCTCCCCCTCCCCCTCCCCCTCCCCCTCCCCCTCCCCCTCCCCCTCCCCCTCCCCCTCCCCCTCCCCCTCCCCCTCCCCCTCCCCCTCCCCCTCCCCTCCCCCTCCCCCTCCCCCTCCCCCTCCCCCTCCCCTCTCCCTCTCTCTCTCTCCCCCCACCCCTGCTATTTCCCGATCCCACTCACTTGGCCACCAGTTCAGGCAGGGCGTCGTTGACCAGTCCCACGATGGGGATGTGCGAGTGCTGGGCCGCACTGCCCATGCGCACCACATCCTCGTTATAGCGCTGCTCCTCCATGCGCCTTACAGCTTGTGTGAATGCAAAGCTGTAGATAAGCAGGTATGCGAGGGGGGGCAGCTAAGACAGGATTCCTGAAGGGCACTGCTCATGCGCATCCCATCTTCGTTACGGCATTGCTCCTCTCATTGTCTGAAGGTTTCCAAAGAGAGAAGCTACAGATATGGGTAAGGCAAATGGGCAGACGGAAATAGCAGGTAAGGTAGGAACGAATGTTGCTGGAGTAAGGCAGCAACCAGATCGTACCCTGACACGTCAGCAAATCAAGTCGCACCCCGACACGTCAGCAAGACAATCGTACCCGGACATGTCAGCAAGGCGCAGGTTGACAAGGACCAAGTGAAACTCCGAGCCACGAATCTGCCCCAGCGCCTGCCCCTGCCCTTCCCCCTGCCCCTCCCCCCCTTGCCCCTGGGAGAGTGTGAGGGAGGGGGCGGCATGCAGGCGGGCGAGGGCGTCGCTAGCGGAGCCGAGAGCCAGCGCCACGTCAGCAAAGCGTGAGAGCATGACTGCCACAGCCTTGCGACTTATGAAGTTGTGATCCACTATCTGCGCGGAGGGAGTGGGGGGAAAGGAGGGAAGGGGAGGGCGAGGGGAAAGCATGATGCCACAGCCAATTGCCCAACCCCAGCGCCTGCCCCTGCCCTCCCTGTTGAACTTCCCCCTGTCCTGGCCCCTGAGTGAGCGTGGGGGAGCGGGTGGCATGAAGGCGGGCGAGGGCGTCTGCAGCGGAGCCGAGAGCCAGAGCCACGCCGGCAAAGCGCGAGAGCATGACTGCCACGGCCTCGCGGCTTATGAAGTTGTGATTCACTATCTGGGCAGGGGTAATGGGGGAGCGAGAAGGGGAAGGGGAGGGAGGGGGAAAGCATGAGTGCCACAGCCAATGGCCCAGAGCCCCCAGCACCTAACCCAGAGCCTGCCCCTGCCCTTCCCGTTGCCCTTCCCCCTGCCCCTGCCCCTGGGAGGGCATGAGCAAGGGGGCGGCGTGCAGGCGGGCGAGAGCGTCGCTAGCGGAGCGGAGTGCGAGCGCCACGTCAGCAAAGCAGGAGAGCATGAGTGCGACGGCCTTGCAGCTTATGAAGCTGCGATCCACTATCTGGGAGGGGGGGAGAGAGGGCAAAAGGAAGGGATAGGGGACAGCATGAGTGCCACAGCCAAGGGCCGTGCCTCCGCCCCTGCCCTTGCCCCTGAGCGGGCCCCTGAGTGAGCGTGCGGGAGGGGGCGGCATGCAGGCGGGCGAGGGCATTGCTAGCGGCGGAGCCGAGAGCCAGCGCCACATCGGCTAAACGGGAGAGCATGACTGCCACGGCCTCGCGGCTTATGAAGTTGTGATCCACTACCTGAGCGAGGGGGGGAAAGGGTGGGGGAAGGGTGGGGGAAGGGGAAGGGGGGAGGGGAGGAGGGGGAGGGGCTGCATGTTGAGAGGTTTTTGGGGAGAACGACGCGCAAGAGCATGAGGGGCACAGCCTTGCTTCCTATCTCAGATTCACATGCAGCATCACATGCGCCAAGACTCAGATTCACATGCAGCATCACATGCGCCAAGACTCAGATTCACATGCAGCATCACATGCGCCAAGACTCAGATTCACATGCAGCATCACATGCGCCAAGACTCAGATTCACATGCAGCATCACATGCGCCAAGACTCAGATTCACATGCAGCATCACATGCGCCAAGACTCAGATTCACATGCAGCATCACATGCGCCAAGACTCAGATTCAGAGTCTAAACCACACAACTTCAGAGTCTAAACCACACAACTTCAGAGTCTAAACCACACAACTTCAGAGTCTAAACCACACAACTTCAGAGTCTAAACCACACAACTTCAGAGTCTAAACCACACAACTTCACTCACACATCACCACGCATACACCCACCCACCATCACGTGCTTGCCCTTGACGCACAGGCGCAGCAGAATCTGGCACCGTCTTGCTGCCGTGGCGCTGGTGTCCCGTGGGCAGCACAACACAACACAACACAAAACAGCACAGCACAACACAACACAGCACAGCACAGCACAGCACAGCACAGCACAGCACAGCACAGCACAGCACAGCACAGCACAGCACAGCACAGCACAGCACAGCACAGCACAGCACAACACAACACAACACAACACAACACACACCAGCACATCACAGAAACAGCATCACATCATAAGCCAACCACCCCACCCCACCCCACCCACCATCACGTGCTTGCCCTTGAGGCACAGGCGCAGCAGAATCTGGCGCCGCCTTGCTGCCGTGGCGCTGGTGTCCCGCGGGTTGAAGGAGAGCGCCTGGCGGGACGAGATGAGAAGGGACAGAGGGAGGAAAGGAAATAGACTCACAGGTTGCAGGAGAGGGCTTAGGGTTGGCGAACAAGATGAGAAGGGATGGAGGCGAGTAGCAAAAACAGTGCCATGGTTCTCCCTCCTTGTCAACAGGACAGGGCATCAATGCAATATATATATATATATATATATATATAAGGGACTTACCTCAAGGAGAGTGGTGGCCATATCAGCAGCCCTCAGCGGTTTCACCATGATGCCTGCAAACCCCAGCTTCTGTGCTTCCTCTCTCAGCGCCTCGTTGGAGTCCTGTGAGTGAGAGGGGAGGAGAGAGAGACGATGCGGGGTGAAAGAGGAGGAAAGGGTGAGGGGAAGGAGGCAGTGGGAGTGGTCGGAACGACGTTATGGGCAAACCATGATGCCATGGTTCAAGCAGAGTGGTGGCCATATCAGCAGCCCTCAGCGGTTTCACCATGATGCCTGCAAAGCCCACCTTCTGCGCCTCCTCCCTCAGAGCCTTATTGGAGTCCTGCAAGTGAGAGGGGAGGAGGGAGACGGGAGCATAGGGACAGGGGGGAGAGAGGGGAGACACGGAGGATGATGCCTGCAAAGCCCAGCTTCTGTGCTTCCTCTCTCAGCGCCTCGTTGGAGTCCTGTGAGTGAGAGGGGAGGAGGGGGAGAAGGTAAGGGGTTGTTTTGGTGAGCAGGGAAGAGAGGAAGGAAGCAGTGGGTGGGAGTGTTCGCAGCAACCACCCTCAGCGGTTTCACCATGATGCCTGCAAACCCCAGCTTCTGCGCTTCCGCCCTCAGCGCCTCGTTGGAGTCCTGCGAGTGAGTGGCGACACGGGGGACGGATAGGCGTGAGCAAAAGGACAGGGGAAGAGTGAGGGAGAGGGGAAGGAAGCAGTGGGAAATTGTCGCAGCAACCACCCTCCGTGGTTTCACACCGTGATGCCTTCCCTTCTTCCTGGTTTCACACCATGATGCCTTCCCTTCTTCCTGGTTTCACACCATGATGCCTTCCCTTCTTCCTCGCTCAGCTTCTGCACCTCCTCCCTCAGAGCCTCGTTGGAATCCTGTGAGTGAGGGGGGAGAGGGGGAGAGACTGGGACGACGGCGGGGAAGGGAGAGAGGGAACCGGTGGACACAGGATCAAAAGCTACAGGATCAAAAGCTACAGGATCAAAAGCTACAGGATCAAAAGCTACAGGTTACCTCAGAACGAGCAAACCCTTCTCGCTCGCCCACAAGATTCGCAGTTAGTGGTTTGTTTCGTTTCTCGTTCTCGCATCAGCAACACCAGCTAGCGTTTCTCACCTTGGCCACGAGCACCAGCGGGGGCGGGTTGAATGAAGTGCTACCCCATCAGCCACTCTCCCACGCCCACCCCAGTGAAGCCACGGAGTGGCTGATTGATGGAGTTGAGTCCGTCGTCTCTGCTGCTAGACGGTGCAGTGCAGTGCAGGGTGCGCAGGTCGAGTCAACAGCAAGCACTGGTTCTTTCTTACCTTGGCCACGAGCACCACAAGGGGAAGGTTAAAGTGCTGCTCCCACCCAAGGGAGGCGAGAGATTGCGTGATGGCGACGGGGTCAGTGGCGCGATGCTGTGAGGTGCAGGGTGAGTAGGGCGCTGGGTCTCACCTTTGCAACGAGCACCAGCAGCGGCAAGTTGGAGTGCTGCTCCCACCCAAGGGAGGCGAGAGATTGCGTGATGGTGACGGGGTCAGTGGCGCGATGCTGTGAGGTGCAGGGTGAGTAGGGCGCTGGGTCTCACCTTTGCAACGAGCACCAGCAGCGGCAAGTTGGAGTGCTGCTCCCACCCAAGGGAGGCGAGAGATTGCGTGATGGTGACGGGGTCAGTGGCGCGATGCTGTGAGGTGCAGGGTGAGTAGGGCGCTGGGTCTCACCTTTGCAACGAGCACCAGCAGCGGCAAGTTGGAGTGCTGCTCCCACCCAAGGGAGGCGAGAGATTGCGTGATGGCGACGGGGTCAGTGGCGCGATGCTGTGACTCCAGGTCCCTCAGTTGCAGCACCATGCGGCCCAACGCCAGGCCTGTGGAGGGACCGTCACTGTCCAAATCGACCACCACCACATCCCACCGGCTCTTGCGCTGAGAGGTTACAGTCATGCCTGCGTGACGGGAGGGGAGCAGAGAGATGCCGTGAGCAGAGAAGCGCCGCACCATGCGGCCTAGAGCTAGCCCTGTGAAGGCGCCACCGCTGTCCAGGTCGACCACCACCACATCCCACCGGCTCTTGCGGGAGGCTGCTCCTGCCATGCCTGGATGAAGGGAGGGGAGCAGGGGGGGGGGGGGGGGGGGGCAGGGAGGAGACGCATTGAGAGGCGAAACGAGCAATGCATTTCCCCAGTGTCAAGATAAGGGCGGGTAGATAGCTGCAAGCTCTGATCGCCGACTAGTAAGCAAGCAATGCATCTCCCTCCTGCCCTTCAAGGTCTCTCAGCTGCAGCACCATGCGGCCCAATGCCAGCCCTGTGCAAGGGCCATCGCTGTCCAAATCGACCACCACCACATCCCACCGGCTCTTGCGGGAGGCTGCTCCTGCCATGCCTGGGGGGTGGTGGTGAGGGGAGCATAAGAGCGGAGGGAGAGGAGGGAAGCAGTTGGCAGATAAGCGCAGCACCATGCGGCCCAACGCCAGGCCTGTGGAGGGACCGTCACTGTCCAGATCGACCACCACCACATCCCACCGGCTCTTGCGCTGAGAGGTTACAGTCATGCCTCTGTGTGTGTGTGTGCAGCATAATGTGTGAGAAGAGGAGGAGTGGAGGAGGGGAAGAACAAGGGGAGGTGCAGTAAGGAGAGGAGTGAATCCCCCTGTGACTCCAGGTCCCTCAGTTGCAGCACCATGCGGCCTAGAGCTAGGCCTGTGGAAGGGGCCATCGCTGTCCAAATCGACCACCACCACATCCCACCGGCTCTTGCGTTGAGAGGTTACAGCCATGGCTAGGGGCGGAGGGCGATGAGGGGAGCATAGAGGCGGAGGGCGATGAGGGGAGCATAGAGGCGGAGGGCGATGAGGGGAGCATAGAGGCGGAGGGCGATGAGGGGAGCATAGAGGCGGAGGGAACGGAGGGATGCAGTTAGCAGAGACACACAGCGCCATGCGACCCGTGTCCCAACGCCAGGCCTGTGGTGGGACCATCAATGTCCGTGTCCTCCACCACCACATCTTGGAACTAGTGTTTTGAAGTAGTGATGGCCATGTTTTGAGTCGACTCCAAACTCGACTCATTACACAGGGACCATCACTTTCCATGTCCTCCACCGCCACATATTTGAAGTGGTGTTTTGAAGTGGTGTTTTGAAGTAGTGTTTTTAAGTAGTGTTTTGAAGTGGTGTTTTGAAGTGGTGTTTTGAAGTGGTGTTTTGAAGTGGTGTTTTGAAGTGGTGTTTTGAAGTGGTGTTTTGAAGTGGTGTTTTGAAGTGGTGTTTTGAAGTGGTGTTTTGAAGTGGTGTTTTGAAGTAGTGTTTTGAAGTAGTGTTTTGAAGTGGTGTTTTGAAGTAGTGTTTTGAAGTAGAGTTTTGAAGTAGAGTTTTAAAGTAGTGTTTTGAAATAGTGTTTTGAAGTAGTGTTTTGAAGTAGTGTTTTGAAGTAGTGTTTTGAAGTGGTGTTTTAAAGTTGTGTTTTGAAGAAGTGTTTTGAAGTCGTGTTTTGAAGTAGTGTTTTGAAGTAGAGTTATAAAGTAGTGTTTTGGAGTAGTGTTTTGAAGTAGTGATGGCCATCACGTCTTCAAACACATGGCCATCACTTTCCATGTCCTCCACCACCACATCCCACCGGCTCTGGTGGGGTCATCCCACCGGCTCTTGCAGGGGGCTGCCATGCCTGAGTGCAGGGAGGGGAGCGGAGAAGTGCAGCTGGCAAGAGATGCACAGCCATGCCTGGGGGATGCACAGCCATGCCTGGGGGATGCACAGCCATGCCTGGGGGATGCACAGCCATGCCTGGGGGATGCACAGCCATGCCTGGGGGATGCACAGCCATGCCTGGGGGATGCACAGCCATGCCTGGGGGATGCACAGCCATGCCTGGGGGATGGGGGGGAAAGGAAGGCACAGCAAGTCACAGGCAGGCGCACAGGCTGTGTGTGGCACTCAACCAACGTGCTGTCCTGTGCGGCAGAAGCAACACCAGCAGCACCAGCAACACCAGCAACAGGGGCAGCAGCAGAGAGACTTCCAGTCAAAGAACATGCCACACCACACCGCACACCACACACCGCACCGTGCTGCACCAGTATAAGGCTTCCACAACACAACGCACCGCACTGCACCGCACCACACTCACCAGTACCAGCAGCTGGGGCAGCAGGAGAGGTGACGTCGTGTCTGAGAGCCAAGGCAGCAGCAGAGACGCTGTCTGACAGATCCACCTTGAGGCCCAGACGAGCCATGCACGTGGCCAGGACCTGGTGGTGCGGAGGAAGCAGGGGTATAAGGAATTAGCTTGCTGTCAGCCAGTGCAGCAGCAGAGACGCTGTCTGGGAGATCCACCTTTAGACCCAGACGAGCCATGCACGTGGCCAGGATCTGGCAGTGTGGGAATTGGGGGGGGAGGAGGGAGGGGAAAGGGGGGAAGCAGGCTAGGGGTGTATGAGTGCTGAGCGCCAGGGCAGCAGCAGAGACGCTGTCTGACGGATCCTCCTTCAGGCCCAGACGAGCCATGCACGTGGCCAGGACCTGGTGGGGGGAAGGGGAAGGGAAGGAGAAGGGGGAGGGAGAAGAGTGGAAGTGGGGTTGAAAAGGGATGACTTCTGAACAACAGGGCAGCAGCGGAGAGACTGTGAGAGATCCCCGGTTAGACCAGGCGAGCCATGCACGTGGCAATCACCAGGCGAGCCATGCACGTGGCAATCACCAGGCGAGCCATGCACGTGGCAATCACCAGGCGAGCCATGCACGTGGCAATCACCAGGCGAGCCATGCACGTGGCAATCACCAGGCGAGCCATGCACGTGGCAATCACCAGGCGAGCCATGCACGTGGCAATCACCAGGCGAGCCATGCACGTGGCAATCACCAGGCGAGCCATGCACGTGGCAATCACCAGGCGAGCCATGCACGTGGCAATCACCAGGCGAGCCATGCACGTGGCAATCACCAGGCGAGCCATGCACGTGGCAATCACCAGGCGAGCCATGCACGTGGCAATCACCAGGCGAGCCATGCACGTGGCAATCACCAGGCGAGCCATGCACGTGGCAATCACCAGGCGAGCCATGCACGTGGCAATCACCAGGCGAGCCATGCACGTGGCAATCACCAGGCGAGCCATGCACGTGGCAATCACCAGGCGAGCCATGCACGTGGCAATCACCAGGCGAGCCATGCACGTGGCAATCACCAGGCGAGCCATGCACGTGGCAATCACCAGGCGAGCCATGCACGTGGCAATCACCAGGCGAGCCATGCACGTGGCAATCACCAGGCGAGCCATGCACGTGGCAATCACCAGGCGAGCCATGCACGTGGCAATCACCAGGCGAGCCATGCACGTGGCAATCACCAGGCGAGCCATGCACGTGGCAATCACCAGGCGAGCCATGCACGTGGCAATCACCAGGCGAGCCATGCACGTGGCAATCACCAGGCGAGCCATGCACGTGGCACGGCACGGCAGCCCCCTCAGCTGTCCCCTCGGAGCCAGGCACGGCAGCCCCCTCAGCTGTCCCCTCGGAGCCAGGCACGGCAGCCCCCTCAGCTGTGCCCTCGGAGCCAGGCACGGCAGCCCCCTCAGCTGTCCCCTCGGAGCCAGGCACGGCAGCCCCCTCAGCTGTCCCCTCGGAGCCAGGCACGGCAGCCCCCTCAGCTGTGCCCTCGGAGCCAGGCTCTCTCCACCTGCTGCTTTCATCCACCCCATTCCGCTCCCTTCACTTCCCACCACACCAATACAGCCAGAACCCACCTGCTGCCTCACAGGTCGACCGTCCACTGCCAGGCATCTCAGCCCCCTCTGCTTGCCCCTCAAAGCCAGGCTCTCCGCCTGCTGCTGTTTCCCATCCCATTCCACTCTAAACATAGTGATGTAAAAGGATTATGCAGAACCCACCTGCTGCCTCACGGGTCGACCGTCCACTGCAAGGCATCTCAATCCCCTCAGCTTGCCTCTCAGCGCAAGGCTCTCTGCCTGCTGCTCGTCCGGGATTGGCCCGAAGCCCGCGTGGAAGACACGTGGCAGCGCGCTAGAGGCCGGGCCGGTGGGCGGCTGGGCGAGCGAGATGTCGAAAGTGAATGTTGAGCCGATTCCGGGGCGGCTGTAGACGAGCAGTTGGCCGTGCATGGCCTGCACTAGACTGGTGGGGGGGGAGGGAGGGGGGGGAGGCATGGGAGAGAACGTTGGGTGGCTGGGCGAGTGAGAGATCATAAACGGAGCCGATTCCGGGGCAAGGAGGGGGTTACAACGAGCAAGAGGCGGAAGGTGAATGTTGAGCCGATGCCAGGGCGGCTGTAGACGAGCAGTTGGCCATGCATGGCCTGCACCAGACTGGAAGAGAAGGGGAATATGGAAAAAGGGAATGGCACAGGGGGCGAGAGGGGAGAGTGGGTGGCTGAGCAAGCGAGAGATCAAAAGTGAAGGTTGAGCCGATTCCGGGGCGGCTGTAGACGACCAGTTGGCCGTGCATGGCTTGCACCAGACTGGATAAGGAAGGGGAGGAGGGAGGGGGGGGGGGGGGGGGAAGGAGAGAGAAGGGAGGGGAGAGGGGGGAGAGAAAGGAGCGAGAAGGGGGGGAGAGAAAGGAGCAAGAAGGGGGGGGAGAGAAAGGAGCGAGAAGGGGGGGGAGGGTGGGGGAATGGGGCGTATAGATTTGACAGAGGGAGCAAATGAGAGATAACGTGAAAGGCGGAGCTGATTCCGGCGCGGGCAGCTGTAGATGAGCAAACGGCTGCCTCTCGCCCACCACTCCCCACCACTCCCCACCCCTCCCCAGGACCTCCCCACCGTTCTTTTGAGGCGTCTTAATGAGAGCAATCACACACACATGCGAAGGAGGGAACCCGCATACTTTTGAGAAACATTCAGCAGCAGAGGCACAGCGCCAAAGCGCTGCTGCTGCAGCGGGAGGGAGAGCGGTTGGTATTTGAGAGCTCTCGAAAAAAAACAGGCTTACTTCTGAGCGACGTTCAGCAGCAGAGGGACGGCGGCGAAGCGCTGCTGCAGCGGCAGGGAGAGCGGTTGAAAGGGCTTTTCGAGAGCGTCAAACACAGCGTCTGGCAGCCCCACCCCCGTGTCCTCCAACGTACACATCAGCCTCACACCCCCTCGCACACCACCACTCCCCACCGCTCCCGACCCCCCTCCCCCTCCTCCCCCTCCTCCCCTTCCACCTCCTCCGCACCCTCCGCCCCTCTCCCCTCCCCCACCAACCCCCCCTCCGCCCGCCCTCCCCCCATCCCCACCACCCCCCTGCTGCTGCTGCGGCCCCATGAGGCGCCGGAATCGAGCCTCCTGCTCGCGGATCATGCGGCAGATGCTCTCCCAGCTGTTGCTGCCGTCCGCTGCTGCCCTCCCACTCAGCGTCAGGCTCTCCCCCTTGGCTTGGCTTGCACGGCCTCGGGCGATGCGCTCTGCTTCCACTGCCTGCGCCTCCCTGCTGGGAGCTGGTGGAGGGTGGGGGAGGGCAATGGAGGGGGTGGGAGGGGAGGGGATAGGGGTGACAGCTCAGCGTGAGGTTCTCCCCCTACGCCTGGCTCGCCCGCCCTTGGGCGATACGCTCTGCTTCCACTGCCTGGGCCTCCCTGCTGGGGGCTGGGAGGGAGGTGGGCGAGGGAGGCGGGGAAATGGGAGGGTGGGGGAGGGAGCGGGAGCGCGAGGGGGGGAGGAGGGGGAGGGGGAGAGGGAGGAGGAGGGGGAGGGAGGGGCCCGCTCAGCGTGAGGCTCTCCCCCTTCGCCTGGTTCGCCTGCCCTTGGGTGATGCGCTCTGCTTCTACTGCCTGGGCTTCACAGCTGAGGATGGGGGAGGGGAGGCGAGGGAGAGGGGAAAGGGAGGGGAAGTTAGGGGACCTGCCATGCCGTGCACCTCATTAGGTCATCTAGGCACGAGCAAAAACCCGAACGCCTGTTCGGTTCGCCTCGAACATGTTCGAGTAGAACCGAACAGGCTTTTTTTTTTGGCTAAATTGTTCGGGCCGAACATGTTCGGTGTTCGGCCGAACATGTTCGACGTTCGGCTTTGGAATTTGCCTCTCCAAGCCGAACACGAATATGTTCGTGTTCGGCTGGGATTCGACGCGAACACCAAATGTGTTCGCGTCAAAATTGGCCGCGACCAGATTTAGGTCGCGGCCAATTTTAGTTTGAGCTCATTTCGTGAGCTCAAACTCAGAAGTTGTTTAGGCTAAAGCGCTCCCTCACACAGCCGCCCTAGCCTCCTTCTTCTAAGTGCAAGGAAGTGCACGTTAATACTTGGAGTGTAAACGAACGAACATTAGATTAGATAGAAGAACTATGCATAGGGTTTAACGTAGTGTACGGAGTTTAGGGTTACTAGGGAGGTTCAGCGAGCATCTTCGCAAAGGGCTCAAGTAGGGCGTATCATTCGCCCTAGGATTCGGATCGGGCATTACGAACGTGCGTGCGGCACCATCCAACGCTAACGTTGCCTTAGGGGGTTTTAGGGTTTAGGGTCGAGGGCGGAGTGATGGCTTCCAGGGGTGGTGGATCCATAAGCCGAGGTGCAGGCAGGGCTCAGCGCAGCGCACCGGGATCTCCACCACGACCTATGCAGGGGCGAGTAGGGGATGGACCGGGTGGAGCCGGCGCGATCTTCGTTGGGGGGTTGCTTACCGTACCGGCGCCGAGCTCTCGTCGCTCTTTCCGTTACGACGGCCCTCGGCCCCCTCCTTCAGGGCAGACGCCGACGCAGCCGGAGAGCGGCAGTGAGGAGGAGGATGAGGAGGAGGATGGTGAGGGCGAGAAGGAGGAGGACACTGAGGGGAGCGGGGATGACAGCGAGGCGGCGTGGGACCCAGAGACGCATGGCGGTGGGGAGGGGGGAGATGATGATGATGAAGACCACGAGATGGATGGGTTGGAGCCAGAGGGGCGGGAGGAGGAGGTGGGAGAGGGTGGTGGAAGGGCGGCGACAGAGGCGGGATCACAGCATGTGCATGAAGGAGGAGGGAGCGTGGGGGTTAAGGTGGGGGGGGGAAAGGCCGTGACCATTAGGGAGCCGAGGCAGAGGAAGAAAGCGAACAAGTTGAGAGAGCGGGCGTATCCCTGCACGTTCACTGGGGAGCCCTTGGGCGAGGGTGTGATCGCTCCCGAGTTTTTAGACGAGGACGGAGGGTCCGAGAGTAGTAAGGGGACTGGCAAGGGTAATAGGAAGCCGGGCTGGCAAGTAATGATGTTCGGACCGTTAGGGGCAGACGATAAGCGTCAGTGCAAGATTTGCACAGACAGGATTTCGTGGAAGCAATCCACAACAACCCCGGGCGAGCGGCATTTTGCGAGCTTCCACACTGCGCACATGCATGTGTGGCATCACCGTTACCACACCCCGTCCGTTCACTTGCCAGGGGAGACGTTTCCCCGAGGGGGCTACAAGGGAGTGCCGGATGGCTACGTCTATCAATGGCCACATGCCAAGACTTGGCCGCAGCTCGCCAAGGGGAAAGCGATGGCGACTGGTGGAGGTGATGGGTCAGGAGGGTTCGAGCGGTGGATGACAACCAAGCTGACCTCGGTGCAGCTACGGCAGGCGATCACGAAGCTGGTGGTCACCTGCGACCTCCCCTTCCGCATCGTCGAGGCCGAGGTTGTAAGTGCTCCATCCCATCCCATGCATGATTGGGCAAGTATGTGGTTACCGGAGGTGTCTGTCCTTTTCTGTTTACATCAGTTTGTATGTGGCCCAGTGCAGTGCTATATTATTTTCATCCCATCCCCCTGACGTGTACTCCCCTCTCCCCCCTTGTCTCTTCCCCTCTCCAGTTTCGTGAGCTACTCATCCTGTTAAACCGCAACTGCGCGCAGAAAAACTTCATCCCCTCGCGCTGGACGGTTTCCCGCGACACTGTGGTCTATGCGGCTGCCGCTCTTCAGTCAGCCATCGCGGAGATGCTGGCGAAGGAGGGGGAGCTGGGGTGCAGGGTGTCGTTCACCATCGACATGTGGACGTCGCCCAACAATAGGGCGTGGCTAGTGGTAACGGGTCACTGGATCGACGAGAATTACCAGCTGTGCACAATGGTGTTTGAATTCCGCGAGATTCTCGGGCGTCACACGGGCAAGCAGATGGCGAGGGTGGTTGAGGAGACGGTGGTGCAGTGGGGGTTGGAGACGCGTCGTCTTGGGTTCACCTCAGACAACGCCTCCAGCAACACTGCCGCTTTCAAGTGGATGTCGGAGGAGGGTGGTGGCCAGTGCTTCTTCAACTCGCGCATGCACTTCAGGTACGAAAGGGAGTGTTCGTGGAATGTGCGATGAGGGAGTCTGGGTGCGTCGTTCCTGTGATGTGAACATGTTGTAGTTGTAGTACAGGCGGGTGGGCCTATGCGGCTTGAGAGTGGTAGTGTATCTCGGATCTATGCCAATGTGTACTCACACTTCCCTTTCTCCCCGCCATGAATGTTTTGGGGTGTGTGCAGATGCCTGGCACACGTGATCAACCTTGCAGTGAAGGCAGCACTGGCTGTGACCGCCATCCGCAAGTTGCTGAAGATTCTAAGAGAGATGGCGTCGTGGATAGGCTACTCGCCGCAGCGCTCGGGGAAGTTCTTGGGCCTTCAGCGGACTCTGAACGCGCAGGGCAACCCCGCCAAACCGAAGCCAGCATTGAAGCTGGTGCAGGACAGTCCCACACGCTGGGGGTCGACCCACGACATGGTCGAGCGAGCCGGGGTTCTGCAGGAACCCATCTCTGTCTTCTTTGCCCAGACACAGGTGTGTGTGTGTGCCAGGTGTTGTGTATGCTGTTTTATGTGTTGGTATGTCGGTCGGGGTGTTTTCTTCTGGGACTTGCACAACTGTTGGCCATGCTTGACTAAACTGTCCGGACCTCCAACAACCTTAACCACCCCACTTTCCATCCTATCACCCGCCCACCCATACGTTCTACCCGACAGGGTGTGTCGAAGGCTGACAAGGCGAAGATGGACACCTTGCGCCTGACGGACGCAGACTGGGAGACTCTGCATTCTGTCAAGACCTTCCTCAGCCCATTCGCCAAAGTCTCCAAGGCCGCAGAGGGAGCGGCGTACCCTACTGTGTCGATGGTCCTGCCGTACTACAACGGCCTGATCGACGCTATGGAGTCGCGCCTTGCCAAGGGGCCATCGGCTACGTTGAAGCCGATGATTGAGGCGGCGCTGGGTCTCTTGAAGTATGAGTTGATGTCGAGCAACGAGTTGTGGATCGCCACCTTCCTGGACCCTTCCATGAAGGCGGCGTGGTTCGACGACACGCACTGGGAGACGCTGCATCCCGATGCAGAGCGGAGGGCGAGGCCTCGTCCCTCGTCAGGAGAGGTGATCCAGCTGGTTCGCGAACGCGTGGCCGAGTACCAGGCCCGGGCTGCCGCGATTGCCCCTCAGCCGACCCCACTTGCCCCAGTGACGGAGGAGGAGGAGGGAGACGCGGCGGATGACGACGAAGACGCCGAGTGTCTCCCTAGTCGCCGACGCCTTGCGGCGTGTCTATCGGCGAGCTAGGAGGCGGGGAGGGGTGGGATGGTGCAGGATGACGAGGTTGGCAAGTACTTATCAGAGAGGGTGCGGTGCGACGTGTCAGCGTTGGAGTACTGGCGCAGCGCCACCAACATGCAGACGCTGAGGCGCATGGCCCGGGATTATCTTGCCATCCCTGCCACGTCCGCGTCGAGCGAGCGCGTGTTCTCCCTCGGCCGCAACCTCATATCTTGGAAGCGGCACCGCCTAGCATCTCAGAGGACGCGAGCTTTCATGATTCTCAGATCATGGTACACCTCACACCCTGGACAGAGGATCGGCGAGGGCCGCCGTGCAAAAGGCGAGGCACCACCAGAGTTCGCCATTGAAGGCGAGGGGGAGGAGGAGGACGACGAGTGGGAGGAGGAGGAGGGGGAGGAGGAGCAGGTGGGGGTGGGTGCTGGCGACACCTCTGACGCGGAGCATGCTGTTGTTGGTAGTAGCAGTGGTGTCCAGGCGTAGGATGTAACTTGGCAGTGACTTTTATGTAGGCATTACATGATGGTGTCGTATGCTAGTGTGCGTTGCATGATTATATATACACCCTCCACCCCCCTATCTATTTTCCCAACCCTCCAGATTCCGTGTTTCTCTATTGTGACTATAATGAAATGGCCACGGGCGAACTCGAACATGTTCGAGTTCGCCCACATGTACTAAATGTTCGCCCCCAAGGGCGAACAGCGAACAGCACCTGAGCCCCAAGTTGTTCGCCGAACCGAACTGTGTTCGGTTCGGGAAAAGATGATGTTCGAGCGAACTCGAACCCAAACGTGTTCGAGTTCGCCATTTGCTCATCCCTAAGGTCATCATCAGGAGTCATGTGTCATGAGCACATGTGACATGGCATGGCACACCAGCGTATGTTTTTTGAGAATTCTCAAATGGCATGGTGGCACACGAGGTCAGGAGGCAAGAGAAGATGTGTGACATCTCATGTGAGCCTGCACCTGGCTCGCCATGCGGTGAACACGAGAGGCACGCGCAGCGCAGCGCAGCACTGCGGGAAAGAGCTGGGATCTGCCATGCGCCTCGTTTCATCATCATCCGAAGAGAGACAGGCGTAGCACCAGGAAAGAGCACAAGCGAGGAGGCACACACACGAGCGAGGAGGCACACACACGAGCGAGGAGGCACACACACGAGCAAGGAGGCACACACACGAGCAAGGAGGCACACACACGAGCGAGGAGGCACACACACGAGCGAGGAGGCACACACACGAGCGCATGCTTGCAAGTTGCCACCACCAGTTACCAATTACCCCACCAGTTACCAATTACCCCACCAGTTACCAATTACCCCACCAGTTACCAATTACCCCACCAGTTACCAATTACCCCACCAGTTACCAATTACCCCACCAGTTACCAATTACCCCACCAGTTACCAATTACACCACCAGTTACCAATTACACCACCAGTTACCAATTACCCCACCAGTTACCAATTACCCCACCTTCCATGTCGTCGGGAGAGTTGGGATCCGCCATGCGTCGCATCTCATCATCATCCGGCGCCAGGCGCACCACCAGGAACACGTGCCCGCGGTCGGTGAGCCGCACCGCCACTGCCATTAGATTCGCGAGGATCTGATAAAGGGGGGGGGGGGGGGGGATTGCGGTTGGTTTTGAGAGAGTGGAATGGGAAGAGTGAGAGGGCGATGGAGAGGGCCAGGCGCACCACCAGGAATACGTGCCTGCGGTCGGTTAGCCGCACCGCCACTGCCATTAGATTCGCGAGGATCTGATGGTGAGGGGAAGAGAGAGGAGAGTGAGGGATGGGGAGATTGAGAGGGCGAGGAGGGAGTGGAAGATGGAGAGGAATGAAGAGGGCAGCACCAGGAACACGTGGTCACGGTCAGTGAGCTGCACCGCCACTGCCATTAGATTCGCGAGGATCTGATAAAGGGGGGAAAGAGGGGGGTGGGTGGATTGAGAGGGTAAGGAGGGAGTGGAGGGTGAGAAAGGTGGAGAGGGATGGAGGGAGAGGAATGAAGAGGGCACCACCAGGAGCACGTGGCCGCGGTCGGTTAGTCGCACCGCCACTGCCATTAGATTCGTGACGATCTGACGATGGATGGGGAGAGAGGGTTGGGGCGATTGAGAAGGTTGGGGCGATTGAGAGGGTTGGGGCGATTGAGAGGGTTGGGGCGATTGAGAGGGTTGGGGCGATTGAGAGGGTTGGGGCGATTGAGAGGGTTGGGGCGATTGAGAGGGTTGGGGCGATTGAGAGGGTTGGGGCGATTGAGAGGGTTGGGGCGATTGAGAGGGTTGGGGCGATTGAGAGGGTTGGGGCGATTGAGAGGGTTGGGGCGATTGAGAGGGTTGGGGCGATTGAGAGGGTTGGGGCGATTGAGAGGGTTGGGGCGATTGAGAGGGTTGGGGCGATTGAGAGGGTTGGGGCGATTGAGAGGGTTGGGGCGATTGAGAGGGTTGGGGCGATTGAGAGGGTTGGGGCGATTGAGAGGGTTGGGGCGATTGAGAGGGTTGGGGCGATTGAGAGGGTTGGGGCGATTGAGAGGGTTGGGGCGATTGAGAGGGTTGGGGCGATTGAGAGGGTTGGGGCGATTGAGAGGGTTGGGGCGATTGAGAGGGTTGGGGCGATTGAGAGGGTTGGGGCGATTGAGAGGGTTGGGGCGATTGAGAGGGTTGGGGCGATTGAGAGGGTTGGGGCGATTGAGAGGGTTGGGGCGATTGAGAGGGTTGGGGCGATTGAGAGGGTTGGGGCGATTGAGAGGGTTGGGGCGATTGAGAGGGTTGGGGCGATTGAGAGGGTGGGAGAGAGTGGGTTGGGGAGAGAGTGGGTTGGGGAGAGAGTGGGTTGGGGAGAGAGTGGGTTGGGGAGAGAGTGGGTTGGGGAGAGAGTGGGTTGGGGAGAGAGGAAGAGAATGAGAGGGTAGGGAGGGAATCCCACAGGAGCAAAAAGCAAGCCCACGTGTGCCACAGGAGCAAAAAGCAAACCCACGTGTGCCACAGGAGCAAAAAGCAAGCCCACGTGTGCCACAGGAGCAAAAAGCAAACCCACGTGTGCCACACAACACCCACCAAAGAACCACTCCAACCCAACGACCACAGTAGGCACGGAGTCCATGAGCAGCGGCGCCACCAGCTGAGGAGAGGCAGGTGAGTGAGAGGAGGGCCGTGAACAGCAACCCACCCGCCCACCCACCCGCCCGCCCACCCGCCCACCCACCCACCCACCCACCCGCCCACCCACCCGCCCGCCCACCCACCCACCCGCCCACCCACCCGCCCACCCACCCGCCCACCCACCCGCCCACCCACCCACCCGCCCACCCACCCACCCACCCACCCGCCCACCCACCCACCCGCCCACCCGCCCACCCACCCACCCACCCGCCCGCCCACCCACCCACCCACCCACCCACCCGCCCGCCCACCCACCCACCCACCCACCCACCCACCCGCCCGCCCACCCACCCACCCACCCACCCACCTGGCGCAGCCTGAGCGGGTCCCCCACGACCACAGTGGGAACTGAGTCCATGACAAGAGCAGCCAGCTCAACGCCCTTCTCCCGTGCCTCGCCTGCCACGAGCAGCACCACTTCATCCACCACACACCGCAGGTCAAACACCGCACTCTCTAACCCCAACCGCACCACGCTCCCCCTCTCCACCGCCCCGGCCCTGCCTCCCCACGCGCCTCCCCTGCCTGTCCCCCCTCCTCCCCCCCCGCCTCCTCCTCCCTCTCCTCCCCCTCCCCCTCCCCCTCGTTCCCCACGGAAGATTGCAGCGGCGGCGGACGATGCGGCGGCGGACGAGGCGGCGGCGATCCGACGGTTCTCGATGCGCCAGCTGTCGACGACGTTGTTGGCGACGTGGATGATGTGGCGCGACGTGGCCTGCACGGCTGCCAGCATGTCGCGCTGCGATTCGTCGAGGGAGGAGGAGAGCAGCAGCTGCAGCAGACCCAGTACGCCTGGAGAGTGGGAGAGCGAGAGTGTGAAAGCGAGTGTGTGTGTGAGAGAGAGAGAGATGTGTGTGGGTGGGGGAGAGGGGGGGGGGGGATGAGGTCAGAGAGAAAGGGGGGGAGAGAAGGAAACGAAGGAGAGATAAGGAGATGACAAGCCACGTCACCACGGGCAATAACAGGGTGATGTGATGGGCGCGGATAGTTGGGAAGAGATGGGTGGTTGGTGTGGGGAGGGCGGAAGGGGGAGGAGAGAAGAGGCTTGACGAGCTGTTGGGGAGATAAGCAAGAGAAGACCCTTCAACAGGGCAGCAAGTTTGATCTGATCTGATATGTGGCTAGTGCCTTCTCTCAATTGTATTCTTAAATGACGCCAAAAAACGCCGCCCTTAGCGCCTCTAAGTGCGCCTCTAAAAGCCGCTCTCACTTAGTTACTTACCTCTAAGCGGCGCTCTTATCTCATGCACCAGAATCCCCAACAGAGAGCTCCGCCCCACCGATACCGCCAGCTTGCTGCCAGCTGTCACCACCGCCCTTCCGTCCGAACCTCCCTCCGAACCTCCTTCCGAACCTGACATCCCTCCAATCCCCCCCGCACCCCTCCCCCGTCCGCTTCCGCCTTCTTCCCCCTCCGCCCCGCCTTCCCCCAGCCTTCCCCCGCGCCCGCCCCCTCCCCCTTCTAATGCGCGGAGGCGCTCCTCCAGCGCGCCGAGTTCCGCCAATCCGCTTCCCAATGCGCGCAGCGCGCAAATCATGAACCCTAGCACGGCCGCCGCCGCCGCTAGCGGGGACCACCGCCACGTCAGCACGTCCACGGCTGGGTGCCACGGGACAGGACACGTGGCATTAGTCCATCGCGTCGCGTTCGCCGGTTGGCTCCCGCCAGCAGCGCCGGAAACAGCGGAGGCATCGACGGAAGTCGTCTCAAAATCTTCCGCATTGGCGGAAGACGGAAATTTGCACGGGGTGAGGGGGTCCTCATGCGCGGGGAGGGTTGCGCGGAGAACACTAAATGCGAGAATCACCGCGACCAGATACGAGCCAGTCAGAGCAAGCCACGTCAACCAAGGCAGCCGCACCGCGCTGGGGATAGAATTCTTGCCACGTGTCGTTAATGTCGCTGTATCACTGGCGTCTGGCCCGCGCTTCCCATTGGACGGTTCCTCGTCTCGGACCACTCTCGCGCGCTGTTTATTCCCTTTATCCCCGTCTACTATTTCGTTCCCGTTACTCCCGTCGTCACTTCCGCCGTCGCTTCCGCTGTCGTCCGCGTCACTCTCCGCATCGCGACTCGCCTCCGTCTCGCCCTCGCTGCTTTCCGCCGATTCTTCCGCCTCCTCCACGCGCCTTTCCGCAGGCGCCTTTCGCCCCCGCCACATGCTGCCAATGCGCGCGGAAAGGACTGTTTATCGCGCGCCAGACACCGCGTCGGCTATGAGAAAAATAGGGTTACGGCGGGAATGTCTCCACTACAGTATGGCGTTGAACTGGTGACTGGAGCAGTTAGGCAGGCTCTCACCGGCTGGATTGACGGCTAGGCGGCAGCAGTCACAACAGGGCGGTAGGTGGTAATTCCTGACGACTCCAGATTATCGGCCCTTACCAGATTTCCCCCATCTTCGAACTACACCACACTACACCCTATAATTTCACTTTATAACCCATCTACTTACTGGTTAAAACCTCCTTTCCAAAGTGTAAATTCGAATCATTTTAAAAGCTCAACAATATTCTTGTTTATTATATGTTCTTTGGAAAGCCAATATTACGGTATGACCTTAAGCTTCTTGATGTTCTCTTGTTATGTTCTTCCTGCTCTTTTCATGACCAATTTCGCACAACTTATCAAAAACCATAGTGATCAATATAATACTGCATTATAAAATCCTTTTATTACACAAACCCCCCGCACCGAAGTACGTTGCCTTCCCCCAACCGCCTCAACCAAGTCACTAAGATCCACCATACTACTCCATCCATCCCCTCCTCCCTTCTAACTCCATCCAAAGCTCCTCTTGCCCATCTTGATAACATAGGGCAGAACCATTTCTCCACCTCAGCGCACCACCAAAACCGGCGCTCTAGAAGCACCCCTGGTCATTGGGAGTCCCGGCGTTCATGCACACACCATACCTCTTAGGGTTAATGGCAGCATCAATAATGCGCTGCCAGTACATCTGCCCGGGGATAGTGCCATCAGCCTGGGGGTTGCGGTAGGTGGGCCAGTGGCGGTTGAAGAAGCACTGCTGCGCGCGGCAGTAGGGGCACCCGGGGCAGGTGGCATCCTCAGTGCAGTTAAAGCCCAAGTAAGGGTCAGGCTGGGTGAAACGGCACGTCTCTGGTGAGGGGAGGAGGGGGGAAAGAGGGGACGTGAAGGGAAGAGAGGGGAAGAGAGGGGAGGAGATGAGGATGGGAAGTGACAGAAGACTGCTCAGCTACATGAAGTAAGCTTACGTTGGGGAGGAAGTAAAAGGGTGGGGGCAGAGCGAGAATAAATCGGTGGACGAGAAAAGGCGTGCCAGAGTGTGCTAACGGTGTGAAGAAGGCTTGAAGTCTGTGCAAACAGTGCGAGTAGTGGAGTGAGAATACTGTGCAAAAAGTGTGAGTACGTACTGAAGCCAGTGGCCCAGTCATCGACGCCCGGCCACTGCAGGTTGTTGTTGACGTACGTGTACCACTTGCCGTTGGGCTTCTTCACAGCAAGCCCGTACACCGGGTGGTACCTGCACGCACCAGAAAGCACCGCACCACACCGCATAGCACGGCTCAGCACAGCCCGCATGGGAACCAGCAGCGCATAGCATCCAAGGTAGAATTGCGCAACGAAAATTCGAACTTTAGGAACAATATGATCAATATCACTAGACAAATACTCACCGGGGCTTCTTGTACGGGTAGGAGGCGTATCCGGGATCAGTGGCGAGCGTGTTGGTCCAGTTCGCCACTTCCTCCGGCGCATCTGTCGGCAGACTCGTATCCTCCAGGGTAGACGAGTACGCGACGGCGCGCGCATCGATCTGATCCAGCGCCGCGCCGATATCCGCGGGATCCATGAACTGATTCAGCGCCACATACGGTGGAGGCGCCGGCTGGGTGATCGGATCGAGAACCGCGGGGTACGTGTCGTTGACGTTCGGGTCGATGGTCGCGGCGATCGCGGCGGCGTCCATAGACGCGTTGGTTGCGGGCCACGGGGACGGGATGGTCTCCATTGCAACGATGCCGGACGAGTCTTCCTCTGGCGCGGGCGCGGGCGCAGGCGCGGGGGTCGTGAGAATTCGACCGCGGAAGGCGGAAGCAGGGGACGGGAGGGACGCGGCGGAGAGGAGGACCAGTGCGAGGAGCGCGCCGGGCAGCGCGCAGAAGCGGGAGGTCGCCATGGTTGAGTCGAAACGCCTCGCGGATGGAGAAGCTTCAAAAGGAAGGTTGGAATGAAAGGTTAGAATGGAAGGTTGGAATCGAAGCTCGAGAGGGAAAGCTCGAGACTGAAGCTCGAGTTTTGAGGCTTGAGAAGCTCTCAAGCTCGCTGAAGGATCGATGGCTGCTGATGAGAATTAGCTAGCACGACTGGGCTTTTGTAGTTAGCAACGGGGTGGTGGACAGCCCCGAATTTGCCCGAGTACAGCGGGATGCGTGAGAGAACGTGTGTGAGGGGAATCGTTGCGGTCACGGTGTTCGTCCAACAGGGAATCGGATCGCGTCACGACTCGCGAAGCAGTTGTTGCAAGGCAACGCGATGCGGTACCTGATGCATGCGACGGGACGAGATTAGGCTGGTTGTTGGGAGGGAACGATAAGAGAGAAGGGCGAGACATGTTTTCCCAAAGGCGACGCAGAGAAAGGGAAGTCTGGACGACGGTGGGATGAGATGAGATGACAGTTGCGCATTGCGGTGCTGTGCTGGCAGCAGAAATGTTTCTTTGCTGCTAGGGATGGGATGGGATGGGATGGGACTCGTTTTCCTGCTGCTTTGGCATTTGTTTCCCTGCTGCTTTGCTCTTGTGCTTCACGATGCGCGCTGGACAGTTTGAAGATGAACCGGCGGAGATGTACGGTTGGAGGTGATTCGCGAAAGAATCGAAGGCGAGCAGATGGACGACAGCGGGTTGGCGATAACGAAGAGAATGGCGGGCGATGAGTCTTCGCGAAACAGCGGAGATGAATCGACGAATATGAACCGGCGAAGACGAATAATCACCAACTCTTGAGTGGCATGACAAGCATGCATTGCACACATTGTGCCCGCAAATGGCTGAGGAGAAGACCAAACGACACGAACGCGTTACTCGGGTGCCGCATTCTGCGCTGACGAGGTGTTGTCCTCACTACACTGTATCTACACTCACGAACTAAATCGAGAACCTACGGTACCAGTACCTATGTCTAAGCTTGCTTTTCCTAATGTGACATGCAAGAACATTTTCCAATTTATATATAATTTGTGACCAAGAAATACCATCACAAAGCAACTGGTGGGTTAGGCATCAACCCCCTCACACATCCTGCTTGACTAACACTACGCAAAAGCTACGCATGCTGGCATCTGTGCAATTGGATGGAAGGAACCCAAACATAGCCACCACTCAGTACAAAAATTCCACTTTAGGACTGTTCTCATGTGTACTGCTGAAGGTCAGCTCAACCCTCGTTCGTTAATCAATTTAATCACTGCACGGTTGTCCATAAAGAGCACTCTGACTGTTATGATGCTGCGAGAGGCGTACGACAAACAAGCCAGGAAACATGTTTCCATCCACCCAGTAGGTTCAAAACGGATTGTTTTTACAGGGACGGGGCCTTCTGTAAGTATACATGAACCGTCATTAGCCTTCAGCCAGAAAAGGATCTTCTTTGAACGAGGCGAAGGGGGGCGAGTCAAGAGCAGTGCGAGCGATGGCCCCATCCTCGTGGATGCGAGCTATGAGCGCGGGGAGCGAGGGAAAGTCGGCCTGCAGGGTTAAGGTGCAGCAGCAGAGAATGGGGTGGTCAAAGGGGAGAACAGCGTGAGTCAAGAGCAGTGCGAGCGATGGTCCCATCCTCGTGGACGCGAGCGATGAGGGCGAGGAGCGAGGGGAAGTCGGCCTGTAGGGTTAAGGTGCATCAGCAGAGAATGGGGTGGTCAAAGGGGAGAACAGCGTGAGTCAAGAGCAGTGCGAGCGATGGCCCCATCCTCGTGGACGCGAGCTATGAGTGCGGGGAGCGAGGGGAAGTCGGCCTGGAACGAGAGGTTGCGGGATGGAAGAAGGGAACAGGGAGCAATTCAGAATATGAGCCCTACCAACAACCCCACCCATCCTCATGGATGCGAGCGATGAGTGCGGGGAGCGAGGGGAAGTCGGCCTGTGCTGTGTAGGAAGGTGCAGCGAGAAAGGGCGGTTAAAGGGGAGCATGCGATATAGGCTATCTTTGAGGATGCGAGTGGTGAGCGGGGGGAGCGAGGGGAAGTCGACCTGTAGAGGGAAGGTGCGAAACCAGAGAAAGGGGTGGAAAAGCAGGGGTAGGGGGGATCTAGGAGGGAGGGTGAGGGAGGTTGAGGAAGTAGAGCGATGTGAGGGTGAGGAAGGAGGGCGAGGTGAAAAGGGTAAGGAATGAGTGTGAGAAAAGGGGTGGGGAAGGATGGAACATAACACATTTTCCTAAGTGCCTTACGAAGCACTCAAATGCTGCTCTAAATGATGCAAAACATAGGCCCAGTGAGCCTGAAGGATGGTCAGCTCACCTCAAGGTGGATATTTTCAACCATCACCTCACCTCAGGGCGGATGTATCCAACCACCACCAGCCTGAGCTCCTCGTCGTAAAAGTCCTCCCCGAAATCATGCAGCAGCCATGGCTCCTGGGAATGAGCGGCAGGAGAAAGAAGGTAGATTGGGGCGGTTACACATTGCCCACCATCATGCAGGAGGCATGGCTCATGGGAATGAGCGGCAGGAGAAAGAAGGTAGATTGGGGCGGTTACACATTGCCCACCATCATGCAGGAGGCATGGCTCATGGGAATGGAAGCGGCGGGGATGGGGGGGGAAGGGGGAGAAAGGGGTATACATGAACACATGTGCGCATACACAAGCGCACACACACACGCACACGCACACACACACGCACACGCACAGATACACGCACACGCACAGACACACACACACGCACCCACACACACACGCTCGCGCCCGCACACGAGCGCGCGCGCGCACACACACACACACACAAAACACACACCACTGTATTGTGTGTATTGTTGAAGGGATTCCACCCCACACTCATGCACACACCTATACATGCACACACCTATACATGCACACACCTATACATGCACACACCTATACATGCACACACACAGACTCACCACTGCCTTGTGCGTGTTGTTGAAGAAAGGGTTCCAGCCCTCACTTGCCACCATCTTGAACACTCCCACACACTCATGCACTTGCACACACCCATACACATGCACACACCCATACACATGCACACACCCATACACATGCATGCACGAATGCATACAAGCGCACTCACCACGGTCATATAACGATCTTGAACACTCCCACACACACACCCGCACACATACCTCACATGCACCCACACCCACGTACATGCACCAACCTCAGTCTTGTTTGTGATGTTAATGAAGCGGTTCCACCCCACACTCATCACCATCTTGAACACGCCCACTACACACCCCCACACACACATGCACATACCCAGACACACACACACAGGCACACACCCGTGCACACACCCACTCATTTGCACACAGACCAGCACGTTGACACGCACTCACCACAGTCTTGTGTGTGTTGTTGAAGAAAGGGTTCCAGCCCACACTCATGACCATCTTGAACACGCCCCTGCCCTTCAGCCCTGCCCACCCGTGGTAGATGCCACACACGTGCTCTGCTAGATGCCCTGTGAATGATGAGGCTGGGAGGTTGGCTGGAACAGAGAGATGGGGAAGGAAGGATAATGGAGGATTTGAGTTCATTACACACCGTCCGCCCGTGGTAGATGCCACACACGTGCTCTGCTAGATGGCCCATGAAGCCAGATGCTGGGAGATTGGCTGCAGGGGAATGGGGGGAGAACGAGAGCGGGTAGGGTCACTTGAGTTTATTACACACTGCCCACCCGTGGTAGATGCCACACACGTGCTCTGCTAGATGCCCTGTGAATGATGAGGCTGGGAGGTTGGCTGGAACAGAGAGATGGGGATGGAAGGACAATGGAGGACTTAAGTTCATTACACACCGTCCGCCCATGGTACATGCCATGCCACACACGTGCTCTCAGAAAACTAGTTCTGAGACATCTAGAAAAGCACGTATTGAGATGTCTTTACGAGCAAGCTTTGAGACATCTGGAAAAACATTGCCAGACAGGAGACAGGAGCCTGGCAGGCCAGGGGGTTGGATGAGAGGGAGTGAGTGAGAGAATAGAGAGTGAGTGAGTGGGGGAATAAGCGGGGAGAGAGGAAGATGTGGGGTTTTGAGGCGCCTCAAAATAGGCGGGGAGAGAGGAAGATGTGGGGGTGACTACCTGTGGGAATGCCGAGGACCTTTGAGCCGCCCCCAACTCACTTGAAAACTGGGGCCTTAGGGTGTTATTGATAGCTTTCAAGACACCCTAAACACTCACCTGTGGGAATGCCGAGGACCTTTGAGCCGCGCCCAAATCCCTTGATGACCGGGCCTTTGATGTACCAGGGAGGGATGGGGAGAGAGCGGTGCAGCCCTGAGAGAAAGAGAGGAGAGGGAGGAAGAGGAGAGGGGAGAAGAGAGAGGATATAATGAGGAACAGCCTTTAATGACCGCGCCTTAGATGTACCAGGAAGGGATGGGGAGAGAGCGGTGCAGCCCTGAGAGAAAGAGAGGAGAGGGAGGAAGAGGAGAGGGGAGGAGAGAGAGGATATAATGAGGAACAGCCTTTAATGACCGCGCCTTTGATGTACCAGGGAGGGATGGGGAGAGAGCGGTGCTGCCCTGGGAGGAAGAGAGGAGAGGGAGGAAGAGGAGAGAAGGGAAATGGAGAGACAGAGAGAGGATACAATGAGGCACAGTCTTTGGTGACCGACGAGAAAAGAAAAGAGACGAAGGGAAAGAGAGGGCTTACAATCAGAGAAGGAAGGGAGGCCCCAGTGCTGCGGTTGGAAGTCCAGCAGAGAGGGCAACAGCTGGTGGGCGGCGGAGTAGAGTGGCCGGGCGGCCTTATTCGGTAGGGAAGGCACCGCAAGTGCCCACATGCCTGCTGCCACAGCGGCCTCAACCCCTGCACTGGTGGGAACGAGGGGCAGAAGGGTTAGGGAAGAGAGGAGAGAGAATTGAACCTTGAGTCTTGAACCTCAGACCTTCACCTGCAAGCCCAACCCTGCACAGGGTCAGTAAGTTGGTGTGAGGGGAGTTTGGTGAGACAGCGAGCAACACAAGGGAAGGAGGGAGGGGTAAGAGGGGGAAGGCATACAAGGCATGGTCAAGAACGAGGGAGAGAGTGGGAGAGGCGAAGGGTGTGAGTGAGGAAAGAGGGGTGTGAGTGAGGAAAGAGGGGTGTGAGTGAGGAAAGAGGGGTGTGAGTGAGGAAAGAGGGGTGTGAGTGAGGAAAGAGGGGTGTGAGTGAGGAAAGAGGGGTGTGCGTGAGGAAAGAGGGGTGTGAGTGAGGAAAGAGGGGTGTGAGTGAGGAAAGAGGGGTGTGCGTGAGGAAAGAGGGGTGTGAGTGAGGAAAGAGGGGTGTGCGTGAGGAAAGAGGGGTGTGAGTGGGGAAGAGATGGGAGCACTCAGAGAGTGGTAAGACGGAAAGGTAAGGTTGCCTACGAGGCATGTTCCACAATGAGGCAGTGAACGGGAGAAGAAAAATGTGCCAAGCGAGACAGAGTGACACAGGGAGAGGAGGAGGGAGAGGAGGAGGGAGAGGCATTGAGGCGTGAGGCGGAGGTAGCCTACGGGGCATCTTCCACAACGAGGCAGTGCGCGGGAGAGGCGAGGCGAGGGATGTGAGTGAGGGAAGCAATGCGCGCAGTGCAAAGACTGACAAGAGGGGCGAGAGGCGGAGTAGTAGCCTACGGGGCATCTTCCACAACGAGGCAGTGCGCGGGAGAGGCACCCATCAGTCCAGCTGCACGAAGGAATCTGAACGAGAAGAAAGGTAGAAACAGGGAGGAGAGTTTACGGCTTTGCTCAGAGGAATCTGAAAGCGAAAAGGGGGCGGAAGGCATCATGGCCATGGGACGAGCAAGAAGGTCGACAGCAAATAATGTGTATCGAAGTTGAGGCGTGCAAGAATTCAATGCACGTGAAAGGTGGATTGGCTTATGAACGTCACACACACAGACAAACACACACAGACAAACACACACAGACAAACACACACAGACAAACACACACAGACAAACACACACAGACAAACACACACAGACAAACACACACAGACAAACACACACAGACAAACACACACAGACAAACACACACAGACAAACACACACAGACAAACACACACAGACAAACACACACAGACAAACACACACAGACAAACACACACAGACAAACACACACAGACAAACACACACAGACAAACACACACAGACAAACACACACAGACAAACACACACAGACAAACACACACAGACAAACACACACAGACAAACACACACAGACAAACACACACAGACAAACACACACAGACAAACACACACAGACAAACACACACAGACAAACACACACAGACAAACACACACAGTCAAACACTCACAGACAAACACTCACAGACAAACACTCACATGTCAGGGCGTGGTTTGCCGTGCTCCACCTCATCCCCTCCCACCAGCACTTGCAGCATGTCCGTCCATCCTGGTCGTTGCAAGGGGAAGGGCAGAGCGGTGCGGTTACATGGGGGATGGGAGCTTGCATGCAACTGGCTGGCATGCAGCATGCTGTGAGATGCTGCTGCTGCACCCTGCAACAAAGCTTGCCCAGAAGTTTCCACTGAGTGGCATGGCGGCAGCAGCAGCAGGAGCAGGCTGCAACCTGAGAATTACTTGGGACTTTTGAGACGTCTCAAAACTCAACCTGAGACTTACTCGGGATTTTTCTGAATTTCCCAGAGAATTTGCACACGACCTGCGTGGAAGGAGAGCTTGATGTTGACGTTGCGTCGGGGCGAGCTGGAAGCTACGGCCATGGGGATGCCGCACGCCTGCAGGTGCTGCATCAGACGGTGGGCTCCTGGGAGGGGCTTGGCCTGGCTCCACCTGAACACACGGGAGAGGGGAAAAGGCATAAGAGACAGCCCCATGCACCGTGGCAGGGCAAGAACGTGTCCCACGCATGCACCCCTGCAAGAAGTTGTCCCATGCACTGTGGCGAGAAACCTGTCCCATGCACCCCAGCCCCACCCACCCACCCACCCACTCGCTCCCTCTAGCCCCCATCCATCCATCCATCTCTCTCCCTCACTGACCATTCCCCACGCCCACACACTCCCCGGACTCACCTCACCTCTCTTCCACCAGCACGTGGCTCTGCTCTTGCAACTCCTAGCAACTCGTCCGCACTGCAAACACTGCAAGGCAACCCGTATCGCTGCACCGTGGCGTTGAGCGCCTCCCATGCCGCTTCACTCCCCTCCCCATTCCCCATGCATCCCACCCATCCATCCCCTCGACTCACCTCTCATCCACCAGCACGTGGCTCTGCTCTAGCAACTCCTCCGGGGTACATGGCAGTCCGTATCGCTGCACCGTGGCATGAACCATCCCCCATGCACCTTACTCCCTGCCCACCCTATCTCCCACCCCCTCGACTAACCTCTCCTCCACCAGCACGTGGCTCTGCGCTAGCAGTTCCTCCGGAGTGCAAGGCAGCCCGTATCGCTGCACCGTGGCATGAGCGCCATCAATCGGCCACTTGCCAATGCACCCGTTTCCCCACGTGCAGCCCATTCATCCCTCGGACTCACCTCTCTTCCACCAGCACGTGGCTCTGCGCTAGCAACTCCTCCGGAGTGCAAGGCAGCCCGTACCGCTGCACCGTGGCATGAGCGCCATCAATCGGCCACTTGCCAATGCACCCGTTTCCCCACGTGCAGCCCATTCATCCCTTGGACTCACCTCTCTTCCACCAGCACGTGGCTCTGCGCTAGCAACTCCTCCGGAGTGCAAGGCAGCCCGTATCGCTGCACCGTGGCACGAGCGCCATCAATCGGCCACTTGCCAATGCACCCGTTTCCCCACGTGCAGCCCATTCATCCCTCGGACTCACCTCTCTTCCACCAGCACGTGGCTCTGCGCTAGCAACTCCTCCGGAGTACAAGGCAGCCCGTATCGCTGCACCGTGGCACGAGCGCCGGCGATTGGCCGCTTGCCGATACGATCCTCTGCGCCCTCGCCCGTCCATGTCTTGCCGTACCGTTCCACCAGTATCCTTGCCACTTCCGTCACTGCACTCTCTGGTGTGAAGGAGGCGGGTGAGAGGGAGGAAGGGGAAACGAGCGCCCAATCAAGCCACCAGCCTGTTGATATGCGCCTCTGCTCCCTCGCCCGTCCACGTCTTGCCGTACCGTTCTACCAGTATCCTCGCTAACTATGTCACCGTGCTCTCTGTCTGGGGGGGGTATTTGAGGGTTGCGTGGGGTTAGGTTCACGAAAGGAGTGTGAGAGGAGGGAGGCAGGGAGTAACAAGGCCAGCCAATCACTTCAACCACCTCCCTTCGCCAATCCACGCTTTGCCATACCGCTCCACCCGAACCCTTGCCACCCCGACACCGAACTTTCAGGTGTGAATGGGAAGACGGTGAGAGGGGGTGGGTGAGAAGAGGGAGGCTGACGTGGCAAAGAGCAACCTCGCCACCTCCGTACTTCAAGTAAACAGGTAGGAAATCTCCGTACTTTTAGCCGGATACGCTGACGGCTTCTAGTTTATCTGATGCTGGATGATGCGTATCAGCGCGGGTGAATCGCCTGCAGTATGGCATTCTCGAGGCCTGGGTTGACGGGGTGGAGAGGCTGAAAGCTGACCGGTCCGGCGGGCCCGTCAGTGTCATGAACCGACGGGTCCCGTCAGTGTCATGAACCGACGGGTCCCATCAGTGTCATGAACCGACGGTTCCGCTCAGTGTCGTGAACCGGACGCGTCCGTTCAGTGCATGAACCCGACGGTGGGGAATGCGAGTGAAATGGGATCGGGCGATTCAAGGGTGTTCGCCCAACTAGTGTCGGCAAAACTTCTCATGAACTCCAAAGGTCGAGCGCGACTCGAGAGAAATTCAAAGAAGTGTGCCCTGTGTCGATCAGGAAATGCGACCAGGAAAGCCGGTCGGCTAACTCAAGGTAGTGTGCCGTACCGGTGTCGATCAGTGTGCCGTCCAGGTCGAATATAACGTGCGTAATTTTCGCGTCAATAACGACAAAAGAGGCGCCTTAAAAGACGAATGTGCCGTACCAGTGTCTATCAGCGTGCCGTCTAGGTCGAAGATAACGTGCGTGATTTTCGCGTCAGATAACGACCTGCCAGCTGGACCAATGACGGTGAGCGTACTCTCGGTTCTTGTAGGAGCCGCTCCCTCGCTCTCGTTTGCCATTGCGGGAGAGCGCTGTACAGCCACGTGGCGCGCTACAAAGGAAGAGCCATATAGCAGAAGCACGAGCTGTAGGTATGGAAATAGTTGGAGAAATCTAGGCCCACACGGTCATGAAGAAGGAGAATCCCAAATATCTATGCTTGCTCTGGAATCTCGAACCTAGGGAATTTGACGAGTGGGATGAAGTATGAGGATCAGGATCCAGCTGTGTGTCGTCGATTCGCAACACTCAAACTCACAAAACCCTGCTCAAATGTTAAAAAACGCGCTGTACCTCGAATTGCTCACATGAAAACACACTCAGCCAAGTATCAACATGCACATACCATACCGTTTGCCCTTATACCGCTTTGGACCAATTATATTGGCGGTGTTCGCCAGCAACTCAGAAAACGATGGCATTTTGGTGGCATAGGCATGGTGACCGCATCCGGAACCGGGGTCGAAACCCGCCCAAGAGGTCTGGGCGTAATGCGGTCCGCGAAACTTCAATCCCCAAAACAGGAAATTTCACAACCGCATATGGAACCCCCAGCCCCACCTTCCTCATCTAGTGGCGCGAATTTTAAGCGCCACTGACCAGTGCCAAACCGAGGGCCAAAAACGAACCAGGGTAACAAGAGCAAAAAAAATAAAACAAACCAATCTCAAATACAACCCCTGAGACCCCTCGTACTCAATCCACTCGCAAGGTGTGTTCGGGAGGGGAAAAATGGAGGGTATTCGAACCCCCCTTTGTCAAACAAATGGCTTGTTCAGAGGTTCCCCTCTGAACGGCAATGCGACGGCTGTGCCATCGCTGTGCTTCGAAAAACGCAGCATGGCGATGGCATGGCTTGGGGATAGAACTTTGCCTGAGGATGAAGTTGCGTCCACGCTACCATATGCCATCGAGCAGTTCGTTTTGGTGGACAAATGGGGGCGTGTTACGATGTGAAGTTTTTTGAGAAGGCATTCCTATATGCTGCAGGAGCCGACTCTACCGAGTACGAAGTTGAGGAGTCAGAAGAGCCGAAACGACGCAGCAACAGTCAGACCAAGACCGGTGCAGGCAGAAACATTTGAAGTGAAAAGAGCGGGAACAGGTTTTGAACGGGTTCCCGCGCCGCACGGTTTCTGAATTCAGTTGTAATAAGGGAATGTACCCCTTAGAGTACATGGCTAGTCTAGGTCCTTTTGTATTCCCTTGTACTCTTATATAAACTCGATGTATGCATGTGAGGAAAGTAGAACGAGAATGAATGACTAAGGAATGGAAGTGATACAAATATGCAACCCTAGAAATGTGTACCCCATATGTGCTACCCCACTATAGCCTACACAATATTATAATTTGACACACCCCCATAGGCAAAGTGGGGGAGAACAAGGGGTCACAAGACTAGTCAAGCAAAGCAGACAAAGCTCAGGGTGGATCCCAACGTCACCACACAGTCCGAGCACAAGGTCAAGGCCACAAGGCCAGTTCACATGCAGGAGTACACATATATATATAAGGCTAAACAAGCAAGAACAGGTATATATATATGTAAGAGTACAAGCAAGGTCAAGGGGTGAGCAAGTGAGGCAAGACAAGCACAAGACCCAGCTGAGTGCAGAAGCGCTGATGATCACAAGGCGGAAGTGCCTTGGTGAAAACATCAGCAGTGTTGGCCTAAGAGGCCACGTACAGAAGTCGCAATTGACCACGCTGCTGCAACTCACGAGCAAGAAAGTAGCGAAGAGCAATGTGTTTCGTTCTGTGCTCCAGGCGCTGCTCCCGACACAAGGCTAGCATGGCCTTGTTGTCTACGTACAGCACCGGAGGAGAACGAGGCGGCTCTCCGAGGTCAGTCAGCAGGTAGGTAAGCCAGCGAAGCTCCTGTGCAGCCATGGCCCCTGCGTAGATCTCAGCCTCACAAATGGAGCCGAGAACAGAAGACGAGCGAGTAGCCTGCCAAGAAACAGAGCCGGAACCAAGGCTGAAGGTGTAACCCTGTGACGACCGCTGCGTAGCCTGGTCGTCTGCCCAAGAAGCGTCCGCGTGCCCAGTGAGGACCACTGGACTCCGCCCTCCAAGCACTAGCCCCATGCCCGACGTACTGCACAAATAGCGCAACACCCTCTTCGCTGCAGCCATGTGCTCTGGTATGTGTCTCCCAGGAGCAACATAGCGTGCAAGAATGCTAAGAGGGTATGCAAGGTCAGGTCATGTGCAGGTCATCAGGTACATGAGGCAGCCAACAAGCTCAGGGTACGGGCCACTCAACTCTACGGACTCATCCGAAGGCAGAGCTGAGAGCGAGTGGCGAGTAGACAGAGGAGTGGCCTGAGGCGACGAGTACGTGAAGCCGAAGCGCTGAAGGACCTGCTGCACCATGTGTGACTGAGTCAGGGTAATGGTGCGGTGTGCTCTATCCCAGGTGATCTGCAAGCCAAGGTAGCTGCGCAGTTCACCCAGGTCTGTGCACGTGTGTCTCTTCTGCAGCTTGGACTTCACGTAGGCGAGTCCAGCAGTGTCAGCTGTGGCAAAGACCAAGTCGTCGACGTACACGAGGATGTAGAACGGCGGCAGAGAGGTGTCGGTGCGTAGAAACAGCGACGGGTCAGCAGTGGAGGGAGCAAACCCAAGAGCCGCAAGTGTAGTCCTCAGTGTGTCGTGCCACTCGCGCGGTGCCTGGCGGAGACCGTAGACTGGCCGTCGGAGGCTCCACTGGGTGCCAGGTGGACAGCGCAACCAGGTCTCCTCGTGCAGGCTACCGTGCAGGAAAGCAGTGCTGAAGTCAAGGGAGTGAAGCTCGTAGTCACGCTGAGCGGCTACGTCAAGCAGCACTCGAAGAGTGGTCATCTTCGGGGTGGGAGAGAAGGTCTGAAAGTAGTCAACTCCCTGCCGCTGACTGAAGCCACGAGCCACGTACCGCGCCTTGAAGAGAGGTGGAGAGCCCAGCGGCCGCTTTACCCTGAAGATCCACATGCCACTGACTATGTTCGCCCCAGAAGGGGGAACCGCGTCAACGTAGGTGCCTGTGGACTTCCAGGAAGCCATCTCTGCATCCATAGCTGCCTACCACTGAGAGGAGTAGGGACCCTCTACGGCCTCCGCGTAAGAGCGCGGAGTCGGGATGTCAAGTGCATCCGGGTCTCCTTCAGGGGTAAGCAGTACGGACGCAAGATGAGGTGAAGCAGCAGTCAGACACTGGAACTTCTCCTGTCTGTCCTCAACGACGTCCGTGCCAAGAGCACACTCACCCCCGACGGACGGAGGACAGACAGACGCAGACTCAGCAACAAGACTAGCAGCGTAGTCTAGACGACAGCGAGCAGCAAAGTCGACAAGCTCAGCAACAAGAGCAGACGCAACAGTGGACTCAAAAGAGGGGTCAGTGACGACAGTAGCAAGGAGACGCGTGACAATAGGACTGGCAGCACGAAGAGAGTCCGACTCAGGGTCAGCAAGCGCAGGAAGAGAGGACTCAGGAGGAGAGGGCAAATGGGCACGCAGAGGAGCAGTGGACGGACGCAGAGACATCCGGTGCGTGCTAGGGACAGGAGGAGGACGCTGACGCGAACTGCGACCACTAGTGCGAGCAGCACGAACAGGCGACGCAGGACTAGACGCAGGCTCACGACGCTCAGCAAGACCTCCAGTAGGACCAGTGTACAGAGAAGGAGAAGGCAGTGGGGAG